TTAATTTGGAAAGAGTTGAGACACGTACTGTTTTACAGTTGAACTTCAGTAACGTCAATTCTTATAAGCGTGTTCTGGACTATATAGTAAGCGTGTTTTACTGTACAGTATATCTCCTTTAGTTCACATTTTCGAGTGATGATCAACAGTCTATGCAAAATTCTAGAATTTTTACAGGACATAGGGTCTGGTAAAATATATATTCTCACTGTACTAAAATTATGGTATAAAAAATGATTTGAATGAAGTGAACAAGCTTACTATTATTAATTTTCCTTTGTTAGTAATAGGTAGTATACAGTTGCATACAGTTTTTCTCTTTTTTTCTGGTTATTTGACTCATACAAATGAAATATACAATGTCAAAGATTTTTAAAACTTAAAATGCACTTTAAATATATATTTATTTATTTATTTCCTGAAATAACGCATAAAGGTTACTCTTAAGTTTAATAATGAAAGTAATTTCCCCCATCTGAATCTACATATGAGCTATCTACAGATCTCTATTCCATAACAGAGGAAATTTGAAATAAAAAAGAAAACGATCATGACTGGGATGATATAGATAAAAATTAATCGGGCATTACATGTACTGCTAAACGGGTCAAACAAAGGATACTTGTGGAAAATGGGACAATGTGTACATGTAAATTCAGATTTTTTTGGCCTTATCTTTTTATTAGACAATCTGTCCTGAATCCTGAAATTTTTTACCGACCTGAACCAAATTTTATCAGTAAAAACCAACGGTCCAGTGACTTTCACATAGACTGGATCCACTGGTTCAGAAAAAACAGTGGACAAAAACCTGAAAAAGTTATCTAACTAACCCTAGGGTTGTTGTCTTCAGGAATGAAAAATATTGAAGGAGAAGGCATGCGGCAGTCAAAGAATAAAAGACTATTTAGCATCATTTCAAAAAAAAGAGGCCAAGAACACCTTTTCTGAGGGTAATTTTGGAAAACTGTAGACCCTTTTATTTGTTATAGATCTTAGCCTTAAAAGCGAGACTCAGTGTGTTATATTGCACCCAAATTGAAATGTTGAAGTTGTCATAATGTTACCTAAACAATATATGCATACATAAATTTATTAGTGCATGATAATATTACCCCATTATTTTTTAATATTCATCTTGTTCATTTTTTTTTCACTTGTTTTTGCTACATACTGTTTTCGATGTATTTTAAAATCATTGATTATTATGTCTATATCATTACTTTAAGAAATTATATATTGTAGGTTAGGTTATAAAACACTTAGTTCATGAAAACTTGGAAAATTGTTGGAACTGTTGTCCCTCGATAATGGGGAAGACCTGGGAACTGCCATCGCCCTCGGGCAACAGTTTCCCAAGTCTTCCCCATAATACCTCAGGAAAACAGTTTTACTGTTTCCCTCGGATTCATGAAAAAAGTGTATACTGTGCCATATATTATATACTTTTTGTAAATTAATTACTGTAATACTCTGGTTGTCAAGGTACTGTAGTCTCTGTTGGTCTGTGAATCCCAGAAGTGTTATAGATATGAACATTATAATGATAATCAATCTGTAATCATCATGTTATATTACATGCTTAAAATGTAAAAAAAAAAGATGTTGGGATACAACTTTTCATAGGGCTTCCAAAAAGCTTAGAAACAGCTGGTACTTTTACAAAAGTAGGAGGTATTATGTGGAAGCGATTTTAATTAAATACATGTATGTCATTGAAATTTTCTCAAATTGAATATTTTGGCCAGTACAGTCATGATTTCAGCGAGGTATAAGTACTGGGTACCAGCAGATTTTGAAAGGCCTGCCTTTCATGTTAATGAAAGGATTTTATATTTTCTGCAATAATACAAGTCTTGATCAAACACATATTTTTTATCAATGCATTCCTGCTAGTCCATAATAATGTTCATCAAAGTATCTATTATATTACACACTGCTGTCATATCTAATGGGTTGGTATTATGAAATACATGTATTCCTTCACAGATGCAATTATAACAATCAATATATGAAAAAAAAAAGTTTTTGTTTTATAATGATAGTACAATCTTATGGCGTGTCCATCTGCAGTGATTATGTAAGATTTATGCATACTGTGCCAAGGTTTACCTCGTTAGTACAAAGAGAGATGTGTGAAATCTGCATGCAATATTCCAAATTTAATTTATTAATAAAACCATTAAGAGAATGAAAATTTTCTTTTTTTAGGTCACCTGAGTCACTCAGGTGACCTATTGCTATCCGTTTTTGTCTGTCGTCGTGCGTCGTCCGTCGTCCGTCGTGCGTCGTGCGTTAACATTTAAACATTTTCAGCTTCTTCTCTGAAACCGCTCAACCAATTTTAACCAATTTTGGCATATAGCATCTATGGATGAAGGGGGACAAAAATTGTGAATTTCATGGTCCCTGCCCCCCTGGGGCCTGAGGGGTGGGGCTAAAACCACCAAAATTAATGCAATCTTTAAAAATCTTCTTCTTTACTCCTGGACATCAAGCAGTCAAACTGTTGACATGATTGTAATAAGCATTGAGCCCTCTACCAAAATTGTGAAATTCATGGCCCCAGGGTCAGGGGTTCTGGTGCTAGGGTGGGGCTATATAGATCATATAGTGAAAGTGCATTATTTCTTTGAAAATCTTCTTCTCTACTCCTGGGTATTATCAAAACAAATTAAATACATAGTTATGATAAGCAAGAGTGACTCTACAAAAATTGTGAAATTCATAGCCCCAGGGTCAGGAGTTCTGGTGCTAGGGCGGGGCTATATAGATCATATAGTGAAAGTGCATTATTTCTTTGAAAATCTTCTTCTCTACTCCTGGGTATTATTGAAACAAATTGAATATATAGTTATGATAAGCAAGAGTGACTCTACAAAAATTGTGAAATTCATAGCCCCAGGGTCAGGGGTTCTGGTGCTAGGGCGGGGCTATATAGATCATATAGTGAAAGTGCATTATTTCTTTGAAAATCTTCTTCTCTACTCCTGGGTATTATTGAAACAAATTGAATACATAGTTATGATAAGCAAGAGTGACTCTACCAAAATTTTGAAATTCATGGCCCCAGGGTCAGGAGTTCTGGTGCTAGGGCGGGGCTATATAGATCATATAGTGAAAGTGCATTATTTCTTTGAAAATCTTCTTCTCTACTCCTGGGTATTATTGAAACAAATTGAATACATAGTTATGATAAGCAAGAGTGACTCTACCAAAATTGTGAAATTCATAGCCCCAGGGTCAGGGGTTCTGGTGCTAGGGCGGGGCTATATAGATCATATAGTGAAAGTGCATTATTTCTTTGAAAATCTTCTTCTCTACTCCTGGGTATTATTGAAACAAATTGAATACATAGTTATGATAAGCAAGAGTGACTCTACCAAAATTGTGAAATTCATGGCCCCAGGGTCAGGGGTTCTGATGCTAAGGCGGGGCTATATAGATCATATAGTGAAAGTGCATTATTTCTTTGAAAATCTTCTTCTCTACTCCTGGGTATTATTGAAACAAATTGAATACATAGTTATGATAAGCAAGAGTGACTCTACCAAAATTGTGAAATTCATGGTCCCAGGGTCAGGGATTCTGGTGCTAGGGCGGGGCTACATAAATCATGTAGTGAAAGTGCATTATTTCTTTGAAAATCTTCTTCTCTACTCCTGGGTATTATTTAAACAAATTAAATACATAGTTATGATAAGCAAGGATGCCTCTTCCAAAATTATGAAATTCATGGCCCCAGGGTCAGGGGTTCTGGTGCTAGGGTAGGGCCATATGTATCCTATAGTGAAGGTGAATTATTTCTTTAAAAATCTTCTTCTCTGCCCCTGGGTATTATTTAAACAAACTATTAGTACATTGTTATGATACGCAAGGATGCCTCTTCCAAAATTGTGATTTTCATGGCCCCAGGGTCAAGGGTTCTGGTGAAAAGGGGGGGGGGGCTCTATTGATTATATAGTGAAAAAGCAAAATTTCTCTGAAAATATTCTTTTCTGCTTCTGGTTAAAAAGCAATGAAGCTAAGTGTATAGGTATGATGAGCAAGAGTGCTTCTTCCAGGGTAGTGAATTGCATGACCCCTGGGTCAGATGTGCTGGTGTGAGGGTGGGGCTCTTGAGAATATAGTTAAAATGCATTAATTCTATTAAATAATCTTGTCTGCTCCTTAGTGTTAAGCAGATAAACAAAGTGATTACTTAAGATGAGCAAACTTCTGGTCCCAGGGTGAGAGGCTCTGGTGTTTCTTGATGGGGAGGGGGGCTCTATTGATAATATAATGAATCTGTAGTAAAAATGCATTATTTCTTTAAAAATCTTCTTTGCACCTGGGCATATCAGAGGCAAAAAGAGTAAAAGTTTTAATAAGGAAGGGTATTTTTACCAGATTTTTGAACATCTGGACCATTTGGTCAAGTGTTCTGGTCCCGGCTAGGGCTCTGTTAATTTGTAATCTACTGAGAGGAGTTATTCCCCTTTGGCATTTACTTTTGATAATTAATCCCTGTAAATAATGTACTTGAAAGGTTAATAGAATAAGAGAATTATGCAAGAATTTTTATTGTATAATACAAAAAGTACTTTCCTAGTTTTAATGATCAAGTAGACTTGTAAATAATAGATAAATAAAAATGAGACAAAAATAACTTGTCTTATTAAATGTTCATCAAAGACCAAGAGAGGCCAATGTAAAAGATTTCAACAAGGAATTAAGATAGTACAGAAGCACTGATAGTTTGTTAATTTACTGTATGGTGATAGTGTTAAATGGGGAACATATTAGAACCTAATTTATGAACTGTAAATGAATGGTAGACTAATTACATTTTTGATCCTGATCACTCTGTTTTTCTTGCTTTTGGCAACAAAGCTTCACCTTTCAGTTCATTTTATACTCTATGGATTCTCTAAATTGTTGTGTTGTACTCAGGTGACCGTTAAGGCCCTTGGGCCTCTTGTTTAAATATTGCACAGGTGGAGGTGAGTGAAATCGTCGTGATGTCGGATGCCAATTTGATGGCAGAATCCTACGCAGAAGATACCATGCAGAATATCGCGACCGACGAGGAGAACAAACCATGCTGCAAATTCTGTGGAAAAAAGTTTGCCCAGTCCAGCTACATCAAGGCGCATATGAGACTCCATACAGGGGAAAAACCTTTCGCCTGCTCCTTCTGTCCAAAGAGATTCAGCGATTGTAGCAACTGGAAAAAGCATGAGAGGATTCATATCAGGTATGGCTTACAGTAACAAGATCTTAACCATGGATTAGCTTACCCTTCTTGTGCTCTCTCAAGAAATTCAGTGACGTACTGTAGGAACTGAAAAAAGCACGAGAGGATTTAGATCAGGTATGGTTTGTACTAAGATCTTATTAATAATCATACCTTAACTTAACCTTCTCGTGCTGTCCCAAGAGATTCAGTCACTGTAGCAGCTAGAAAAATCATGAGAGGATTCAAATCAGGTATGGCTCATAGTACTAAGCTAAACTTTGGGGAAGTTAATCCTTTCCAGACTTGCAGGGCTCGAAATAATTGATGGCCCGCTGGTCTGGGGCCAGTGAATTTTCAATGTGGGCTAGTACATTGCAGAGGGCATGTGCCCTTTGAGTCGGCATTTTTTTATGCATAATAAAATTCATTCACAGTCGGGCTAGTTAACTTGACAGGGTAGTGTGTCCCAACTTCTGCTGTTTCTTGTTTTGTTAAGTTGTACTTCTAAGTATCACAGTATAAAAAAAAAATATTACTATTATTATTATGGTTTTGGGCCAGTCTTTCTAAAATCTACTGGCCCAGTGGGACAGTGAAAGTACATGTACTAAGCTGTCCAGTAAAAATTTAAGGCGATAGCCCGAGTGACCAGTAAACAAAAATAATTATTTCTAGCCCTGACCTGCTGACTTATAAGGATGGTGTTTATTTCATTTATACGTAAAAACTGAATTTACAGTATTAAAACATTTCATCATTGTTCATTGTGCTTTAAAAATGAAAGATGAAAACTTATGACAGATTTCAAACAAATATTTCAGGAGATTCTCCATAAGTAAAAGATGGCACTTCTGCAGCTTAGTGGACAATCTATGTAAAATTTTGGGACCATTCTGTATATTGAATCTGATAGCATTTTTTTCAGTTGCAAGCCAGACACATACCCCTGTTCTTATTTTCATTAATAGGGCACATGTATGTAAATTGCATGATTCATCATGGAAATGCATGTATTCATATTTCAAAGAAAAACATTTCATGTTTCTTTTAAGGGCTTTAGTATACATTTACAGGTACTCTTAGTGTAGATATATAGTCTGTTCAATATGTCTTGCAGAAGTTAATTGCCAGAATTTAAATTTATTTTTACTATTGAATTGTGGATGAGAAGGGCTTAGGTATACAATAGAATGTTAATGTGCTCAACCTCTTGCCTTTTCTTCCCACAGTAGCCAAGCCCTGCAAACTTTGCTCAAATAAAATTGATAAATTCCATATCATGTACATTTGCATTATTTAAACTTGTATAAATATAATACTTGTCAATCTTCAATGAATCCTGTGGTTGAAATTCTCTACTAGTCTTATTTAAATAACTTGGAAATTACCTTGAAAATACTTCTTTTCTACCTGCCCAGACAACAGTGTGTTTTTCCTCTTCTTTTTTATGGTTAATTAATTTTAACATGTTTAATGCAGTAGTGTTTCTCGATAGTATATTTTTAATGGCCTTCGTTCATGCTCCGCTGACCAGGTTAAAAGAACACGACGTGAAAATGCATGCCCTTGTTGTTTCTGTCAGTTTTTGTCAAATTGGTATGTTGTACATTTTTAAGTAACTGTGGAATAGGGAACACAGAGATATATATATAAGCATTCTAAAGTCAGAATAGAAAAAGCTGAAAGTTGATGAAGTCCACCACCATTAGAATTTTCAAATTGTTAAAATGGATCCACACTACAAAATCAGAAAGTAATATTTACATAGTAGTCTACTTCATCATTCATTCTTTTTACCTATTTGATCTCGCTGCTTTTGCATGATATAAATAGAAAAAAAATGGTCTTTGTGGTCAGAAAATTCAATCACACATATTTTCCCTCATCTCTCAAAAAGATAAAATTGTTCTTAAATTTTAATGATTTATTTTAATTTGAAAAATGTGTCACAGTGTGAAAATTTCAATGTATTCATCAAATACTTTGTACTTATCATGTTTATTATTGTGTCAGTTTCGTAAATTTTTTTTCATTCCAAGTTTAAAAGTAGCTGCATGTACATAGAATACTAATGCCACAAATTTTAAATGCAGAAATTGAAAAGCTGACCCACATTTTAAATAAATATTGTTTGATGAAAAGAAGGAAACTGAGGATTGAAATAATTATTGTGATCATGGAAAGGCTGCTCTATTCTATGCATCATTGCTTTTTTAAAGGAAAAACAGACTGCATAGAGTTTTGTTTGAAGGGCAGATTTCTTATCAGTAATTATAATGCTAACATTGTCCCCTGTGGAATGCAGTAATTGAATGTATATGCTAATCAATAAGCATCATTATTTGTTAATTAAAGACCTGTTAAAAAAAACTCATGAGATGCTCTTTCATGTCTTTAAAAAAAAACTTTCAGAAAGGAAATTTACTTTTTGAGAAACTTATAATTTCTTCAATGTAAAAACAAAAGCATTGTATTGTAGATCTATATCATTATTCTTGCACCACTCCCCCCCCCCCCCCCCCACACACACACATGCACACACAGTCACACGCAATATTGCACATATTAGGCTGCTTGATTGTCAGATTATTCAATGTTGGACTGTTAAAAAAAAAATAAATAAAAAATTGGCGATAATTTTCGAAGTCTTTGGATGTTAATTATTGAAATATCAAAGGCAATTTAATCTTTCAAGTCAGTACTGTGAGATCAAGGTCATACACTAAGGTTAGAAGGTGAAGGTCAAATGTCTTACTATATAAATTGCATGTATACTAGAAGGATACTTTGTTCTGAAAGAAATTATTTTGATGAAATAGTAATTCTAATTTGAATTAAATTTGAATAATATTAAACTTGACAGGGTTTGAGGAATTAGATGTGTGGTCTATTGGTATGCAATTGTGACATTGACATTTAAAAAAAAAAAGAAAAAAAACTTGTGATCTGTATACTAACATAATAGACTTAATTGATTTTCTACAAATAGAGATTCTTTGTATTTGAAACATTTTTTCATGGATTGGACCAGATGAAAATGCATGTATTATACTTGTAGATTATCTATAAAAGATTAATTATATTTAATCATTGTATTCCTTGTATGCAGTGCAAGGAAAGGATTCACTCATTTGAAAGAACTTGTATCCCATCCTTTCTTACCTTAAATACAATACAATATGTTCAGATCATAAGATACTTCCATGTCTGTTAATTAATCAATCTTGTCTTGTAGGCTTACTTTTCTTAACCTCTCTTTTTCCATAGCAGTGTATAAATCTGCCCATTGCTAATTTCAGAATAAATTTAGCTGCAGAAAAATTATGAAGCCATATTTCCTTTCATCAAGATGTTACAAAATGATGAAAGATAAGCTAATAAAGTAAATTAATATAATTCAGTGACTGACAGCCCTTAGCATGCTTATTTTTGCAGTGCTTTCCCTCTATTCCAAAGTAAAGAGATAGAGATCAATTGTAACAGGCTAGGGGTCAAGGTTGATGAACAAAATCTCTGTGGACCTTACAATAATTATTTTTTAAATTTTTGATTTCTAAGTGGCATTTTTATCAATTTGAAGGGGTCAATTTGGCCAGTAGCTATATAGCTGGTTCTTAGAGAAAACACTGATTTTGTGCATGATTTTCTATACAAATATAATAAAATTTTATGTGTAATTGTAACACTTTATTTTCTGATTACAGACAACTAGGCTTGAATCCAGACAAGCCTTCCACTCCAAACAAGAGCCAGGTCCCGGTAGTCCAGAACTACTCCACTACAAAGTCCAAATCCGAACACGGCAACTCGAACTTTCAGTGTAAGATCTGCAACAAGACGTTCTCCAATGCCAGCAGCCTGACTACTCATCGTCGGATCCACAGCGGGGAAAGACCGTACAGGTGTGAGACGTGTGGGAAGTCGTTCACTCAGATCGGGACCCTGCGGACACACGAAAGAGTGCACACAGGTCAGTAAAGATAACAGGGATATATACTATCATAATGTAAGAGTGCTCACAGGTGAGAAAGAAAAGAGGGATATATATACTATGGAAAAGTGGTCAACACATGTAAGAAAGAAAAGGGGGGTATATTATAAAAGAGTAAATTGAACAGAAGGGGAAGGGGGGGGGGTGGCATACAGTTAACCTGTACATTTATATCAGTGAAATGAGCTTTTATTGTGATAATGCTTTAAATCATACAATAAACATAAATTTATAGGATCTGATTAAAAATATTTTTGTATATATAATTGAAGGAGTTTGAATGTACTACATTTCCAGGAGAGAGACCTTACATGTGTAAGCTATGTGGACAGACCTTCGCCCAGAATGGCAGTTTTCGCATGCACGAGAGGCGTCATATGATGGAGATGCTCCACAAATGTCCGATTTGCCCCGTCAAATTCTCCCAGTGGGAAGATGCCAAAGCACACTTAGCTACGCACCCAGAAATAGCCAGTGTTACCGACTTTATGAAGCACCTGCCGTCCGTAACCTCAGCCGGGGAAACTGACGACGAGAATATGCCGCCCATCGAGAGCTTCGCTCCACATGTGGAGCAGCTCCATCTGGACCAGTTTCCACCTCCGGGTTTTCCTTTTCCATCCCAATTATCTCCGTTTTTGAATCTTTCTTCTTTACATTTTGGTGCTGCACTGGGGGATATGCCTACTCCTGTTGGACTTTTCACCACTCAAGGACAGGTGGGTGGATAATTTGAAGGTTATAATTAGTACTTTATTGATGGAGGTATATATGTATATAAATATTCTACAGAATCTCAAGATGTGGAATTCCTGGGGTATGTTGAGTTGTAGATGTACATGAAATAAATTTTTTCCATGTAAATAAATGCACTTTCACTGGAAAAAAGTATCAGAGTGTATAAATATCAGAATAATTGAAATTCAGGAATATTAAACAAAATAAGTATCAGAATATTAAACTATTTTTGGACATATTTAGTTTGTTCTAGAGCATGTTTTATGATAATGGATGACTTATGACCCCATTCCTCTGACAGTAATAGTCCCATTTGTTTAAAACAAAATTACCATCACGCATGCAACAGGATATATACTTGTACTTTCACCAAAAAAAAAAAAAAAAAAAAATTAAGCCAATTTCAGGAGTTTAGTGATGCATAAATGAAAGTATACAAGAATTTTTTTTTTTATGTTTATGAAGACAAATGTGACAAATTTTGTGTCATTTCATGTTTCCCAAAAAAGAAAAGGAAATGTCATACATTCTAAGTATTGACATTTCTAACCTGCTTTTTTTTTTAAGGAACAGAAAAGCAAGTATTTGGAAAAAAATATTCTATTAAATCAGGGAAATATGGAAGGTATTTTTAACATCAAAATTTAATTCACACAATTCATGTTGTATATACTGTATTAAAAATCGTTGATCTTTTGGAATTCCATAGGAAACTTTGCACAGTGTACTTTAAACAGTAATAAAGAGTCCTGGCTATAAGAAAAAAAAGAAATTCCAAGTCTCAGTGATTTCCTTGTAACAGAGCTCCACTGTATTCCTTTTTAATTGAGACCAGTAAATATGACATTGCATGAAGTGTCCTTTATTGAACAGCTGATCAAAACTGAGGGACTAGGCCTGCACACCTCACGCTCCGCCCTTCAGGATGACCTTTATAGACAGTCTGCTGAGGTCACGACCTCTGTGGCCAATGGGGTCATACCCTCTCCAAATGTAAGTATAGTCGAGCTTCCATTAATCCAGAGGATTTTTTTCCAAAGAAAATTGCCCAGATTAATGTAGTGTCCATTTAACTGTATTTATGGTTATATTGTGGTTTATATTTCAGTATCAAATATTTAACAGTAAAATCAAATGTCCATTATTGTCATAATCATTATTTTTGGGCATCCATATCCCATGCTAGTGAATATGAAGTAAAACACAAGCTATAATTGCTCCAAGAGTCCAAATAAGAAAAGGACTGAATTATAAACCTCTGAAAAAATGAAAGTGCAAATATTTTAATAAGAAGAGTATTAGAACTGTGAATATGGGTTGTTTGTATTGTTTTTGCATGAAGAAAAAAACTATTTATTTTAAAAAATGACATGTACATTGAATGAAATAGCTAAGAATAAATTTTTGCTTGCCCAACTATTTAAAAAAAAAATACATGTATGTCCGAACAGCCTTGGTGATGGTGTATATTTCTGGTACAATTTCGTAAATTACATGCAAGTAATTAATTATGACAGGATAATGGGGACACTGCTGTTAGTACGACCACTGCCAGAGACAGGAAGTACAGTTCTGACTCCCACACATCACGGTCAATGTCCACCCCCGACGGAGGGCTCGAAAATGGTGAGGACGTAAAATCTACTACTTGTAGTATGAGGCTATTACAAGTAGTGGATTAAATATGAGTGTGCTTGTATGGATTATTCTTGTCTGTACATGTGAACAAATAACAAAGGAGATAGTAGTAGGTGAAAGACTTTAGGAAATACTGTACGTGTACATAAATTGGCTTATTAAAAATTAAGTGCAATCACTGGGCATGGAGTTGTTGGCGTAATCATGAATTAGCACTACACATGTCCGTGCCATGTATTGTATATATAAAAGATTTCTTAGCAGTATTCATGAATTAGCGCATCGTTGTCTGCGCCAAAGCTGCTAAAATATGAAGCCCACATTTTTAAGTACACATACAGTAACTTGAGATACAATAAAAAAAAATGGTTAAGGTTTTGCCTGTACATGTTACAGAGCATGACAGAGTAGAAAATGGGACACTTAAAAAACATTTCTATCAAAACACTTTTAATATGAAATTTAAATTAAGTTCATGCACATGTTGCAATTTCCCTCTAGTTTATATTTTCTGCTTTAAAAATAAAATGTGTCGAATCTTTTGTTGGAAATTCATTTGGGAACTTAGAAATGCCGTAGGTTAAGAAATTATTTTCAAGACCATGATTTTTTGATTCAAAGAAAGATTCTAACCAAGCATGTTGACAATCTGTCAACCAAGCATTCTGACAATCCAGCATAATATATTGAAAATTCAAGAGTATATAATATATCCTCAAGAACTAAATGATATAGGAGACAGAGCCTATTTTTATGTACAATATCCAATTGACAGGCACAAACAGAACGGATGCTGACAAAGCAAACATGGAGACAGATTTCGTCCATCCCGATACAGAACAGAATGCCAAGCCAACCTCGGAGGACTCGAGCGTGGTCAGTGACCACTCCGACAACAACAACTCAGAGGAGGCGCAGGGTATTAAATGTACAAACCTCCACAGTAGACTGTCAGGGAACTCCCGCAAACAGAAATGTCCCATGAGGCGGTACAGCGGATCAGGTGAGGGGTGGGGATAAAATGCAAATATCATATATATATACATATATAATAAATATCACATATATATATATACATAAATGATTTCTTTCCTAAATACCAAACTAAATTCAAACTCAGTTTAGTCATGGAATTTATATTATTATCACTGGCTGCATAGTACTTAGTTCATTACAGAAGTAAGTTACCAAGAAAAATATTAAATTCCTGCAGAGAACAAGAGATCAATTTAGTTTTTTTTTTTGGGGGGGGGGGGGAGTGTTGTACAGCAAGGATGAACCTAAATTAGTAAGACTATAATGCTACAAATATTTATGTGTAAATGAGCAGAACATTCCATGCTTTCAGAGGACTTCATTTTATGGTCTTTGTATAACAAAATGACTTTCATTATATCTGTAAAAAAAACTACCTAGGTAAATTTTTTGTATTTATTTATAATGAAGGATGTCATCAAAATGTATGTATCTTCACTATTTAATAAATATTTTTGCCGCTACAGAATTCAAAGACTAGAGATAATTTTTTCTTGAAATTCTTCTTTGCACCAGCTGCTTCCTCTATGGTAGACCCGGACACATCTACACATGTCACTCAGAGCCTCCTAAATGAATCAGATAGCATCTACTCCGGGGACCAGAGCATCGAAGAGTTCCAGGATATAAATAGCATCACTGGGAAACTCTATCGATGTGAACACTGCCGCATTCTCTTCGAGGACTGCACACTTTATCTCCTACACAACGGCTTTCACTCGCACGACGCAGATCCATTCAAGTGTGTTATATGTCGGTTGTCCTGCCGCGATCGGATCGAGTTCAATTGTCATCTGATCAGCCACATCAAATAAGGGAAAAATACAACGTTCAGGTTTGGTTTTAAAGGTGTTTCTTTTTGGTGTGACGAAATAACGGATATTTTTTTTTTGTTTTGCAAGTGACATGTTTGTTTCAGTATAGGAACAATTTGAAAAATTATTTTTCATTTGTCATCTAATAATCTTTTTTGCTGATTGAAGTACTTATTTCTATACAGTGTAAAATACTGTTGACATGTCTAATGGCATGGTTAAAGCAATGACCAAAAACTTTACAATGTGGTTGTAGCAAAGTCCAAAAAACTAAGGGACACAATTGATACAAAGTATTTTTATGCCAAATGATAATTTGTAATTGGTCAGTATGTAGTAGAGAAATCTCAGTCTATTTTTGGCCTGGGATCTTTTATACACATTAAATGATCTGAAATAAAATGTTTATGGTAAGTCGGAAATACGAAACTTGCCTACTTTGTGATTTTTTGAATCTTCCACATATTTTTTGTTTTGTTGAACAAAAGATCTGTATTATTTTAGATAGTAGTTTTACATTTTAGTTTGTTTGTTTGTTTTTTTTTTTTTGCAATATTCACTTAGTTTAGATCTGTTTCACTCATTAACCCACTGGGTGTAATTATATGTGTACATTTTGCTTATAGTTATTTATTATTCCTATGGCACATATTGTTTATTTTTGTTTATTTTTTCTTCGTTTTAAAGTAATTATATACAAGGTTAGTGCTGTCATTCATTCATATAAAATAATTCCCAAATAATCGCTACAGAAAAAAAATATGGAACAAGGTTTGATATTGAAATGAGCTCCATCCGACTCAAGACATATCTATTTTTTACCAAACTTTTTTTTTTCCAACTCTGTGACTCTTGGACAATGAATTAGGAACAACTTGAATTATTGTTGCATATGTCTTTTTGTATCATTAGTGTAGTAGATATTTTATATTGTCATGTTGTCTTTAAGTTGAATGCCCTTTGTTTTATTGGCAGGTTATGCCTGCAATGTTTATAACGTATTTGCAGCAGTATAGTTTATGCTGTTATTGTGCATTTCAGTTTGGGAAGAATTAACTTTTTTCAAGGTTTTTGTGGATTTGTGCGATATCAAATTTCTGTTTTTTTATTTTTTTTTGGGGAGGGGGGGTATGAAAAAATTCTACCTTCATCTTAACATATCTCTCCTGGTTGTTTTTAAAAAGTTTTTAGATAAGGGGGGGGGGGGGGAAGAAAATAAATTATTGTGAGCTGAAACATAAAGTTAAATCATTTTGACTAACATGAAACTTCTCTCTCGGAGTATATTAAAACAGATTTTTTCCTCCAGTTTTAAAATTGCCAAGGTTTTTGTAATCCTTTAACTTCTTACGCATTTAGAATTTTTTGTTATTGTAATACAGGTACTTATTTTTTTCTTTTGAAAAAAAAAATGGCCAAGGTTATTTCTTGAACCAAATTGTATAAACACCATTGTGCCATGTTGTAGCATGTTAGAAGTACAGATTGTCCATTGTGGTAGTAAACATATCATTTTATTGTACATGTTTTTGTTTTGTCATTGAATTTACATTATTTATCATATCGTATGCATTTAGATCATTTAATTTGCATTTTTCAAAATATTTTTCGTTCTGCACATCATAATGTGTGCATCTTGTAAAACAAAGTTACCTCCCTTCTTTGTTGATATTGAACAGGTTTTTTTTTTTTGGTAGCGTTGAGGGTAACAGTATTTCCTCTTCATACACTGTATTTGTTCGCACTCTTTAATATAAGGGGAAGCCGTAATACATTTTTTCTTCTGATATCTTTAAGCAAAACATCGTTCAGTTTTAAAAATTCATTTTTAATATTTCTTTATTTTTGAAGAAAAATTCTAATTCAAGATTAACTTATCTGTCTTTGGATGCCATTTTCTCACTTTTCAATCAAATTTTTGTTACAGTAAATATATTCTTCAGTTAAAAAAAAAAACTTGCCAAATAAAATTTCATTTTTCTTGAGATGTTAAGCCAATAAAGAAACTCTCTGACTTGGTGATTAATGGTACATTTCTGGTATGTAACCTTTGTTTGTTTACTAGGAAATATCTAACTCTGTAACTGCTGAAGTTGAAATACTTGTATCTTGTGGAAGTTAACATTTTTTGTTGTTGTTTGCAATATCTAATATTGTACTATAATTAAGCAATATCATTATTATTCATTGCAACTTTAATTGTTTTTAAACTTCTTGTATTTTCCTTTACATCAGCCAAAAAAAAAATTAACATCTGTTTTGTTAATTATATTAATTAACATTTAGAAATTTTTTAGAGATATTTTTTCAGCAATAGCTTCATTAATTTTACTTAGCCATATTAAAAAAAAAAACTGCATTTTGTTAACATAGTGCACAGAACTCCATTTTCTTCTTGTTATGAGCTATTTTTGTACAGTAGTTGACCAAATTTGTTTGATTTTTATCTTTGTTTGAATTGCTGCAGTTTTTACTTCTACCATCTTCTCCCTACAAATGGCATATGTCAATATTTGTTGTATTATCTGTGGTTTACTTAATTGGCAGAAGTGACACCTAACTTATTCTACTTGATAGTTATGAATTTTCTGGTATTTGTGTATCTCCTGAAAAGATAAAAAAAAAATCTAACCCCCCCCCCCCCCCTTTAAAGTTGATGGTTTCATGGTTTTATTTTTTTTTTTTTACATTACTGCAGCAACTTAAAAAAAGATAAAATATTTAAGGGTAGTGGTATAGTACATATCAATATTAGTTCAGTTAGTTGGGACCATAATTATTTTCTTATTGAAATATTTACTGCTTCCAAATATTTAGTACAAATTTCATGAGAGAAATATTTTTCTATTTACTTGTTTTGCTTTTCAGCATAGACAAACTTTATTACACAGTTGTCATAGGTCTTCTTTTTTTTTTAAATCTATCTTTAAATTTAAAAACGATTGAAGCTGTTACTATGAACTTTAAGTTCGAAAAACAAAATACACGGTATTTAATCATCATGGTAACAGTGGAATATTTATCGTTATATTTTTTTTTCTTACTGCAAGGCTATCACTTGGTTTTAATTGCAGGATTGACACAATTAGTTGATGCCAAAGTTTATCGTTTACTTTCATTTTGTTAAGCCTTTACTTTCACTTTACATCATGTGACACAATTTTTATTCATCATTGTTAGAATGTGATTAAGTCCACCATTTTTTTTTTTTTGCTTTCAATTAAATATTGATAACTACTTCTTACTAATAATTATACAAAAACTGCTGACATCACCAAATGCTGTGTAGTGTGTGCTCTGGAGAGAGCCTCGTCGTTATAGCTTTATATTGTGTATATTTTCTCGTATGTCTTTATTTATATCTACAGGGTACTACAGGGGTCTGTATAGCAAGCTTGCTTATTTCCATATATTGCAGCCAAACATTTGATGTACAAGTGATAGGCGTCTCTGTGTCTTGTCTAGATATCTCATTTAATTTGGGACTAATTAATTTACATCTAACTTTCATTGATTTCTTTTTTACCTTGATTTTGGGGGATATTTTGGGTTCTCCAGATTAGAGGATCAATTTGTATTTAAAACTCCATATATGACAAAATCTAAGTTTAGATTTAGAAGTTGGTACTTGGATCTTTCAGGTCCTTCTGTTGTCTCTTGTATTTCTAAGTTGTGAAGGTTATCTGGTTGTTACTGGTACAAGTGATGATTTGTGATACGTAAACTCACTCCTTCATGGTATAATGTCCCTCCTTACTTATGGTTGATTTTGTTTAACCATTTTTTCCTCATTTTTTTTTTCTTTTAATTTTACAAATTTTTCAATGAAAGTTAATAAGGCAAATGGCATATCAGAATTTTTTTGTTTAAAAAATATCATAAATTCTGTCTTTCTTGAATTTGAAAGTTTTGAATATTTAGTAATTTTTAAATGTCAGTTATCTTTTCTTTCCAGAGGGGCATTTTACTTTATCATTGAAAATAAATAAAAAATATACAACTTTTGTGATGAATACACATTTGGTGCATTAGTAGACAAGTATGCAATATTTCCTCATATGTTAGATGTTGCATTTTTAGATACTATAATTATTAACTGTATTTAAACTTGTATGTAATCACCCTTATATAGATATATATTTTTTTGTGTTACAGTTATGGCAAAAATTGTTATGTACATATATATACATGTATCATTCATTTATAATGTATTTTCAAAAACTTGCCTTAGTTTGTTTAAGGAAATTTATTGTAAGCCAAATTTTCAGTCTTTATCTATCAAAAAGTCCACTTTCAAATGCTAAGGGTATGTGTTTAAAAGTTTTGTATCTATCAAAATTGGTTCATAGTTATAATGGAGTAATGTAAAATCATTTTTTTGTTTAAAAAAAAAAAAGAAAGAAAAAAAGAAACTTTAAAATGGTAATTGTTTAAATTTTGTTCAACTTAAAAAAAATTTTTTTTTTAGAGTAATTAGAGCACAAGTTTGGTTTTTTGTTTGTTTTTACTGTAAATTGACTGGATTGAAATGGTAATATTTAACTCTTTCTGAGATTTGGTTTACAGCATGTTACATGTAGTTGAGTGCATTTATTAAATTTAGTCATAGAAATTTGGTAAAATTCTGATATTACTTTTTTTTTTCCAAAAGAAGCAATGGCTTTTTTTGTCAACAACTATAGATTGTCATCTTCTAAAATGTGTTTCTAGAAATTCAGTATATATTTTTTCGACAATATATGTAAATTTCTTTTAAGAAATTTAAATTTCATTCAAGAAATTTGTTTCTCCTTTATACCAAACATAATTTTGCTTACGATTTTTGTAATCAAAGACGGCATTTACTATACATTTTTTTTTAACCTTTATTTTGTATTTTTTAAAGAACTTATACATTTGTTTATTGGATTCACATCTAAAGAGGTCAAAGGTCAAAAGTCGTTACCAAGTGACCACTAATTAATGAATCCATAAAGGAGAACTTTTTCTCACACTTTTTATTTTTTACACTTAAAGCTGAACAAAATTTATATACACAACTAACAGAATTGTATTCATGTAACCTTGTTGGGCGGGACAAAATTATTTTACCGATTCAACATGTCCGATCCTCACATACAGAGTATGTGCTGAAATTTCATCTAGTTTGCAAGATGGCATTTTCTTAAATTAATTCACTGGGACAAAATCCATTCCTGATTTTTGTCTTAGGTGAAAAAGAATATGTTCAGTGCATAATTGTTTCTTCTTCCAAAATTTCTGTTTTTAATTTAAAAGAAAGCAAAAAGGAAACTATGTAAACCTGTTGTAAATTTTTACACACAATATTTCACCGCTAAAATGAGATGTGCGGAAGAGTTTTGAAAAGTATGTTTTGTGTAAATTTTTTTGAGCCTCTGGAAAAAGAGCCAAATAATTATAATTTCTATGAGTTGACAGATTCTGACAAGTTTTATTTTTTTTTTCCATTTAGCACATGTAGATTTGTATATTATTTTTAGATTTGTTGGCCATGTTAACATGACCTCGTTTGTTGTATTAGTTATACTTATTAGTAGATGTGTTGTGAAATGCTTTTTCTTTCTTGGTGCTAAATATATATATATTGATGTTTTAAGCTTCATTGTTAGAAACTTGTACTTAAAAGTACATCATTAAAGTTAGATCTGATTAATTGAAACAAGTCTTAAGGTTGTCTTTTCCTACCCTAGTTAATGGAATATTTTTTTTTACCTTAGAGGCCTCTAAGTGACCTAGAAAAATTTAGGCGCCAGCTGGCTCCTGATTAAAAAAAAATTAGTCGCCGGGCAATTTTTCTTAGGCGCCAATTAAAAAACTTGTCAATGTATGTAGACATGTCCATTGTTTACTTTTATACTTCTTTTTTGCTCTTTAGAAAAAAAAAATGTTGAAAATGTTTATAGTTCAGTAATTTGATAATCACCAAGTCAATTTAAAATGGTCCCCTTTTTGGCGATTTATAGAGAAATTTTAGGCGCCAATTAAAATTGTAGGCGCCGTGGAAACTAAATTAGTCGCCAATTAGAGTCCTGCCTAAACGAGATATTATTTTACTGTTGTCAATGGGATATTATTTTATAACCCACCTTTATAGAAAGAAGCCAGATTTCATTTAGTATACAGTATACATGTAGATAAGTGGCTGTAGGAACCTGAAAGGGGGGGGGGGTGCTCCCTTAATAATTTTGCCGATATGTAGATTACTAATAAACAAACTAAAAACTACTTCATGGGTATGCCCCCTCAATAATTAAGTCTGATGACCTTTTTCTCGAGGTTGTCAAAGAATTTTTTCTTGGTAGTGAGCACCCAAATTAAAAATGTTAGCCCCCCCCCCCCTCCCGAAAAAAAAATCAAATTTCTTCTTATGAAATAAGGATTGAAAGATCCTCTGTATATAAAGTAAAGAAATGGTTAAAGATAAAAACTCGGAATTATATATCACTTGCAAAAAGTAGTGAGCATACTTGGTACCGAGAAACTTGGCAAACAGATTGAGGAATCTATGAAATTCTTTGAATTTAGTGTCAAAATGTCAAGGTCAGAGACACCTTAATTTAAATTGCAAACGAGATGTTATGTCTTTCAGTTTTGCATTTCCTTTGATGAAAGATGCCAGTTGGCCAGGATAAGGTTAACATTGCAGGAAAGTTAAAAAAATGTTTTTAAAAATAGATCTCTGCTATTTGTACATGTATACACTAATGATACACTGTACACATGTAGGTGGTCAATGACTTGGCAACCTTTTGATTTTGTGTCAAAGGTCAAGGTAAAAGCTGAGAATCTGATTGAACATGCTAAAATTAACAACTTGACGAGAGGTATTTTCGTGTCAACAAGTCCTTAGATTAGGGCATGTTTGAAATCGATCCTTTCAGCAACGTTTCCGATAAGAGGGAAATAGTGTATCCAGTGTACTTAATTCTGATGCCATGTGTTTGGAACAAGAAAGATGTCCATATGTAGACTTAAATTCTTTTGGATGAGACAATTTACTTTACTAACATATATTACAAGCAAAAAGAAATAAAATAAAGACAGAAAACTTGTCTTCATATGGATAAAAATGTATCCCACTTTTGCCCCTTGACACACAAGTTACTACATTTCTGTAGTCAAAAATCACAGTCTGGGGCGTCTATCGATAACGTTAAAAAATACGCACAGGCTCCGACCCATTTGTCAAAGTGTCTCCAATTACCCGCAACAGTGCCTCAATTTTTATACATGCATAGTAAACTAGTATACTAGCATCGTAAAATGCACACAAAATCGTTGTTTAAATAGATGAAAAAAGGATAAAAAAAATATTCTGTTATAGTACTAATTTTCGTGGAGATTTGTTTTTGTGATAGATTGATTGATTGATTATTAAACGCCGAGGCAATATTCCAGCCGTATTTTAGCGTTAAAATTTCATGTATCCGATGTTTTCTTGATATGAGAAGATCCACAAATTCATGTCCTCCACGAATTGTGAAAATTAAAAAAAAAAAGAAAAAAAGACCATTACCTCGTCTACCAATCACGAAATTAAATCGCCCCAAATCATATTTTTTTTTGGGGGGGGGGGGGCATAAACCACAAAAATGACCTCACGAAAATAAGTGATTATACAGTATACAAAAAAATATAATTTCAAATAAAACACAAATAAATAAGTTTTTATTCTCCTCCACATATATTTTTCTTCACACCCAATTGTCTGTAAAGAGAAAAGAAAATTACATCTATTTCCGAAAATAATCAAAATTTATTGAATGAGTCCGGATTTTCTTGAATAAAAATATATTATTGCTTTCAAATTCATATTTGTTTTCGTCCATGAAAGAAACAATACATTTTATTCTCACAGACTCAAAATATATACTCTTTTCCTCCTAAATTTCATTAATTAGTTTGTAAAAGTTTTTTAAATATGAAAATATCACAAAAATTCGTTTTTCTGGCTTTCTTTGATTTATTATTTTGTCTTTACCTGATTTTTAATAAGAAAATTAAAATACGTACATGACCTAAGTAGTAACTTTGAAAAGAAATGAAATTCTCACGTAGCTTAGTAAAATCAAAACCTATATTCTTTTTCACCTCTGGAGGGCAGAAACTTTGTTGAAAAAATATATGGACAAAGTTAAAAGCACTTACTATGCATAGGTCTGTCATCTCATCTGTATTGTTGCTGTGTTTCCCGCCGTCTGCCACGTGACCACCCCGCCGTTGCTTTTGATTGCCCCACTTTGTATTGCACTCGAACACAGCGGTTCAGACTGTAAATGGCAAATGCAGAATTTTTTCTTCAACTCTAAGTAATTTTCTAAACTCTGTTTAAACTTTGCTAAAGAAATATGAGGATAACGATCGGTAATAATGCTCAAAAGTCCAACTAAACATTACAAAATTGAAAGCTGAGTAAGCACGGATCCCTGAAAATATCTGAGGTTGGATAAGGTGCCATAGAGGAGTAAGCATCCTTCTTCGACCGGCCACATCCGCCGAGAGCTCCTTATCATTATCGGGTGAACAGAAAAATACTAGGGATGTCAACGAATAGTCGACTATTCGACTATCAGTCGAATGGACAGACGATCGAATAATGAAACGACATTCGAATATTATTATTAAATAAATGCAATAAAAGAGTGATTTAACGAGATGGAATTCTCATCTTTAATTTTCCTCAACAAAAAACGATTGACTTTCCATGTGCTTATAGAAAGTAATGTAATTGTTAGTGCTTCACTACCGCGGGAAGTATATGTCAGTTACTGCCTGTGTTGTTTTTGTAAAAAATTACCCATCAAATTACTGGACTTTGTTTGGAAAATTATTAATTGGGCTTGACCTTATACCCTGTACCAATTACAGTAAAACTTGTCTAATCCGGCGACCAGTGGTTCCAAAATGTTTGGCCGGATTAGACAACATCCGGATTGGAGAAAATTGAACCGTTATAGCAAGTTAAAAATTACATAGATATAAACTAAGAGTGGTAAATAAATACTTGATCAAATGTGTCATTTTTTACGTGTCACTTGAAAAAATCATGGCCGTATAAACCGGGGGGGGGGCGTGCCCCCCCCCCCCCCAATAATTTTGCCGATATATAGATTACTATAGTAAACATAGATACTATAAGCGAATGTGCCCCCTCAATAAAACAGCCTGATGACCTTTTTTTTTTTTTTTTTTTTTTTTTTTTTTTTTTTTTTTTTGCTTGTCAGAAAATTTTGGTAGTGCCCCCTCAACTGTCAACTGAAAAATGTTTGGCTGTGCCCCCCCAAACTGAAATTGCTTCCTACGGGCCTGAAAATCGTCTATTTCCGTTTGTTTTGAACTCTGTTTGTTCTTCAGAATTTTCATTTCTGTTTAAGTTTTTTATTCAGTGTCGAAATATAATATTTCTAGGGCATTTATCAAATGTGAAAATCGTTAAATGTTTTAAATACACTCAAAAACTTTATCGTAGCTCTAAATATTATTTTGTTAGGAACAGATTCCTAATTAATTTCTTTCTTTTAAAATTAATATGTTTGAATATTTAGACACTGTATTTGTTAATTTCAAATGTTATACATGTAATGAATATTGAACCAAAATCCTATGTCGTTTATGGTTGTTTATGTTTAAAATACGTAGACAACTCAGTATGAAAATAATAGAAACAATCTGTAGGGAAAGCGTCAGTAAATATCCGACCTAATGACAGATTTTACTTGTAAACTAGGTCATTATATTGACCACAGAATTTGCGAAATGTTGACCTTCAACGAGATGTATGATCAAATTATTGGTCAGTAGCCTTCCTCGGTTTAGAAATCGTTCGTATGTAGAACATGCTCTTGCATATCGAATGAACTGGAAGATATATATACCATATGCAGGTGATAATGGTATATTGATACATAAATAAGGGAAGTTGACGATAGAAAAGTTGAATTAAGTCATTACGATTATTATAAGTATAGTTTTTTTGTTTGCCATCAATATCTTTAGTAAAACATCCAAATATGAAACAGATTTGACCGACTCTTTGGTGTCTTTTCTTTCGATTTTTTTCTTTTTCAAATCAACGTAGGAATCAAAATCTATATTGTGAAATGATAAAACATCGTTGCTATATCTCAAAAAATCACCTCAGAGTACCTTTCTGTAGAATCAGAATGGTTTAATTTTGACAAGTCTGTTGATGACCAATGGCAAAGCATGAAGAAACAGGTGTTTATGATATTAAAGAGAATGGTCTGTAATTAATCGTGGGAAATGATTGCGTATAGTGTTGAAAAATCATAGCATACGTTTTGATACTAATGAATTTGGCAAACGTTTGTGATTTCAAATTTTCTAAAAGTTCTTTTGCGTTTTTCAGTTTCCACGTTTGATTAAAACCACTTCTCAAATGTGTTTGTTATACAGTACAGTAGAAGTTTCTCATTAACAGTTGTTAATATTTTCGTGAAGAGTAAAGAAAGAGGCTTGATAAAACCTTTACTAGAACCCGCTATGTATCTTTGTTTGTAAAGATATTTATGAAGTTTTGGAATCCATGTATTAAGACATGATAAATTAAAATCAATTTGGATGTTGAGAAAATTTAAGATATTTAAAAATGACATGTGATTTTGAAGGATCTCTTCCTTAGAAAGGGAGCTATGAGTATATTCTGGGATTTCCAATCCAACTAATATATTTATGTTTCTTGGAAGTCTTATCCTTCATGCTAACCAAAATTAACATATGTAAGTGTATACACTATTAATGGGATTTTTATAGATTTTTTTTAGATGTATTAGGCAAATAAGGGGACTACCATTTGATTCTGATTTGAAAAATGGGGGTAGCAAAATTTTTCGAGTCAGATTATTTATTTTCACGCCAGTTACGGACAGATTTTTTTATTTTCAAGATGATTAAGGACAGGTTTTCTTTTCTTGCCAGTCGAGGACAGATTATTTATTTCCAAATCTGCCTGCCCTCCCCCTTCCTCCCTCCCTTCTGAATCATATGGTCTTAGCAAAGACTAACAAATGCATTCCTGCAAGCCAAAAATGCTAAAAGATGTGTATACGAGACGGATGGATCCTTACATTTATAAATTTCTTATAGTAAATTACATTTTAACGACAGTACGTAAAGTATCTAACTTGAATTACTTATGTCTCTTGAAGCTATATATCGATTTCAAGAGACAGAACAGGCAACATACGACACTTCTACAATGCCTGTACAAGGCCAGAGCACCTGGTACATCTACAATGTAAGTATATAGATGTATCCATTAATAAATGATTAATAAACTAGGCATATTTTTACTTCAGTATCTTAATTTCTCATCGGTAAAAACATGTTTTTAGAGTTTAATATTCTTAGCAGGCGCGTAGCCAGAATAGAAATAATGAGTACGCAGAGAACGACAGGGGGTTGAGTGGGGGCGGTCTTGAGCCCCCCCCCTCCCCCCCCCAGTGTTTAAGGGCTCTGGTCAGGCACGTAATATAGCTTTTGCCAGACAGGAAATAATTACAACTTTAAAAATTTTGTCAAGCAAGGACGAAAAAGGAAGATTGTCAAAATTCGAAGTCCTATTTCTTGTGCGAGTGTGTTTGTTGAAGGGGGGGGGGTGTCCATCTTTCACAAAGTTAACCAAATTTTTATTAATACATCACCAAATTACCATGATTTAACAATTGTGCAACAAACAGTGGGGGTCCACCCTTTCAATGTACATTTTCAATAGTAAAAGGTTAGGTTTTGGGAACAAGTAGCTCCCCTGATACTACGTGCCTGCTGGTGAGGGCCCAGAAGCTCCGGAGTTTTACCAAATATTTCATTCATTTTCTTGAAATATATAAAAATTATGCCATTTAGTTTTTGTTTAGGAAATAAAAGACATAGTAATATTTATTGTTTTAACGAAATTTAATATTCCATGGAAACTTATTGTACATATAATTGAGGCTAAAATTTTAACCGATATATTAATTGGTATCATATAATCATTCTTAACGTTTTAAAACACGTATACAAAATTTTAATTATGAACAAAAAAATATCGTATTGTAAATCATACTAGTAGGTCATAGCATTCAACAATATGGCTGAAATTTAATTTTTCAAACATCTATAAATAAAATATCAATGTATGATAGAAAAATGACAAAATAATGAATGATTTATTTGGATTTGGTAGTTATTAAATAAATCAATAAAAGATTTCAAATTTTAACATACAGCCATAATAATTTAAAATTTAAATCGACACAGTATGACACAGAATAATTTGAAACACATATATTTGTTGTCCAGATGGTACTGAGATTTTTTTCTCCAAATAATTCTCTCTTTTTCTTATCTTTTTTTCTGAAAATGATGTGTACGCACTTGTGTATTTGCGTATAGGCTTATAGTTTTTTTTTTTGGGGGGGGGGGGGAAACAAACCCCTGCATTAACACATATTCAATAATGATTACTTACATAAAGTACATATTCTTATTTCAATACATGTACGTTTTTCATACTAATTGTTAGGCCATTATTTACACACTGAATTGTCGACGGATTTTTCCGTTATTTACCGATCATGACAAGGAGCACACGGCGGGTGTGACCGGTCGGCAGGGGATGCTCACTCCTCCATGGCACCTGATCCCACCTCTGATGTTTGGAGGTCCGTGTTTGCTCTGCTCCTATTTTGTATTGTATAATGGACTTTTGAGCTTGAATACTGTTCGTTATTTCCATATATTTCATGTATTTGCATCGTTTTTTGTTGTAGAATTTTTGTATACTGTATATTGAATTCAAATTTGATTCAACTTGAAATCGTAGATGTCAATATCTTACCAGTAGGATCTAAATAATTTTGATAAAGGCTATTTTAAATCGTGAAAGTAAATGTATGTACTTTATGCGCAATAAACTGTAAAATCACTAAATTTTGCTGTGGGTTTTTCTTTTGTTTTCGTGGTATATATACAGAGACCAACGAATTCGAGTCCCCCACAGAATATATAATTCGAAATAAATAATAAATAAACCACAAAATCAAATCCCCACGAACTAATATTTTTTCCTCACACCAGGAAAATTTGATCCCACGAAAATATGTGATTTTTTAGTACTGAAGAATTTTATTACCGCTGGATAAGAAAGAGTTCCATCAACAATTCGTAGTTGACAGCCAGAGGGACACGTCGCCCTGAAACAAAAACGAAAATCTTCAGCAACCGTAAAGCAACAATTCTACTATAAATCTAAACGAGGATCAACCTCAAGTATACAGGTACATGTTTTTGTCCACTTTATATTGAATTGATTGGTAAGTGAGAACCATATCAGGCCTATTTCATTTTTAACAGATGTCTAAAAATTCCAATCTCAAATAATCCTTTGTCCAACATTTGTAGAATTTGTAATAACATATAACTTACCCACACAGTTTACCAGGACATTGTGTAAAAGGAACATCACATGTTACCGTTCCCTTGTCCTCGTACACTGCAAAAGTACTTCTCATGAAAAAAATCATAATTTTTAATGTAATGTAAATGAACGGACGTGTAGCTATTTATGATAATACTAATGAATCAGATACAATGTACATCTGAAGGAATAAGTTTGCATGTGGTAAGAAACCAGTAGTATACCATTCTTTCATCTTCCTTCCCTTCTTTCACCTCCACTTATTCCTTTCTCTTTTCAACCTAACATCGGGTCGTATTTTGACTGACATATTTCATACCAATTGTTAGGCCTTTGTTTTTATACTCAATATGACTACGAATTATTCCCTCTACCTGAACAATACATAGGGCTCATAGCGGGTGCGACCGATCTTCAAGGGATTTTCTCCTCCTCGTAGGCACCTGATCCCAGCTCTGCAATTTCAGAAGCCAATGTTTTATGCCATGTTCACAGATTTTTATTGTTTGTAGGTTTTCTGAAATCGGTCACTGTTACGTTATCTTCACCTATTTCATTTTTTTCTCTTCCTTTTATTATTTATCACCTTCTTTTCCCATCCTCCTTACCACTCCCCTCCATAAGCCCCTCCTACCACTCTTACTTTTCTCATTATCAACTCCCATTTACCCTGCCCCGCTTCTAGTTCGTCTTTTTTTCAAAACATTGACCTTTTACCAACCTTTTTCAATCCTAAAAAGGTCACACATTCTTTAATTAATTTTAGACAGAATTTTTTTTAATCTTACCAAAATAAAAGGTCACACATTCTTTAACTTTACATAGAATTCTTTTTTATCCTTACCAAAAGCAGTTGCATTGTCGGAGCCGTAAATGTTGGACGCCACACACACATAACGACCATAGTCTGCAGGCCGGTTGACTGACAGGACAAGTAGGGTGTGGTCTGGTAGAACCACGTGGGTAGGGTCAGGTGACACAGGTTTACCATCATGGTACCACTGAACATTCAGTGGCGCTTCTCCAGTGGCTTTGCAGTCGATGGCAAAGCTAGTGGTGGATGGTTTTACAGGTATTTTGTGGTTACCGGCTATCTCAACCTTTCCGGGACCTTTAATTAATTAACCCATGGTTTATATATTTAAATACAAATATAGAATCCTTACTGACATTAGTGCCTATTATGCACCTACACAAAATGCCTTACCCTTCTTGTATATCAAGATATTAAGAACCATGCAGCACATATACTTCAAAGTAAAATGAAAATGATAAGCTAGAGTCAGAGTGTTCGTCATTCAAGTACATGTACAACTACGGAACTACATTTGGGTAACAGGTTCATTTAGATATAGTTATTGTGTTCACATTCGGAGTACGCGCTCTTGTCTGATTAATCGACGTATAAGATAGAAAAGTGGGAACCGGCATGCAATCATCATGGGAACTATATGAAGCAAGGTGAATAAAAGTTACCATGTACCACCAGAGAGACCACGGAGCTGACGGTTCCGAATGAGTTCGTGGCCCAACAGATATAGGACCCAGCGTCTCCCGTCTGTAGATTTAACAGGACCAGGTCACCCTTCTTATCCTCGTAGGCGTTGTTGACGTTTGGCTAGAGAGAGAGAGATAGAGAGCAGGAAAGTTAAAAGTTATGATACTAAATAGATAAATCTGAAAGATACACTTTATAAATATATACACGTTAGGCATAATGGCCTATGGAGATTAAATTTTACGTTTAACTCCTAAAAATAGAGTAGTAAACTTTATGTCATCGACTGACACATCTTTAAATGGTTCTAAGTCGGATACGTTTTGATACTAACTGGCGCTATCCATGTTGTTATAGGTTTTGGTTCTCCCTGTACGTCACAGTGAAGTGTGATATTGTGTCCCACAAGTCCGGTCACCGGGGCTGGTTGTGTTATTGAAGGTGGACCTAAGAAAATGGAATAACAACATGAACAATGTAAACTGAAAGAAAGCAAACGTTTCCGGTAGAGCGAGTATTATTTGCTATTCGTATGGATTTATTGAGAGGGTACCTATATCCCCATCTAAAGTACATGTACAGGTACTTAGATAAAAGACATCGAATACCATCAATGAAGTCAACCAACCAATAAGCCGAGGTTTTACATTCGAAAGACATCATAGAAGTATTTATTCAAGTATTTATCCTCTATGGTTGCTGATTCCTTGATTGATCAACAAGAGCCATTTTAGCAAACTACATGTATTACCCAGATCTAGATGAATATTCTCTGAATACAAAGGGAGGGCGTTAAACCATATAAAATGGAAACAGACATATACAAACCTTGTGTCATCAGATACGCATGCTCAGAAATAGTTTCCACTCCATTGGTCGCTTCGCATACATACTCCCCTCTGTCACCCAACCCGACAGAGGGAATCCCCAACTGGGAACCCCCAGGAATCTCTATAACGCCGTCCGTGATCTTAGTTCGTGTACCGTCCTTATTTACGTGATACCATGAAACTGCAGGTTTGGGTTCACCGCCGAATTTGCATTCGAACACGACGTTCTGACCCACGAGTAAAGTATGGTTTGAAATGGGGTCCACTATTTTGATGTGTTCTGTAAAATAATAAAATGAATATATACTCCAAGTACATTCGAGAGTTCACAAATTTAAAAGGGTGTTTTTTTGTATTGAAATGACTAAAATGTAGTTGTTTCGGGTCATGAGTTTCACCTTGTGACAAAGATTTAGTGAAAAAGGCTTTCCTTTATATTTAAACGTAGATAATTTTTTCTGGCTGAAAACTTTAAAGAATCGTCACCATTTGTTGCAAAAACTTTATTTACCGTAAATGATTTTCCATTTTATATCTTGCAATACACATCTCATGATTCTATCCAATAACGTATCTTTTCTATGTTATGTCATGCATGTATATGTGCATCCTTTGCTCCCTACCAAATTTATTTCTTTTAACTTTAAATTAGTATATGACTAAAAATTGTCATATATAAATTCAAATTAAAAAATCTTAATCTGGTAGTGGACAGTTTATTTCATGGAATTTTTTCATCGAATATGAAAAGAAAAATCTAAAGTTAAACTCTTTTTAGTTTTACGCTTTAAAAACGTGCAATACTTAAAATACAATGTGTCATAGTGTGTTATGTTGTGTAAAGATATTTTTTTTAACTATTTAGTGTGTTATTTTGTGTAAAGATATCTTTTTTTAACTATTTAGGATTTGACTTTAAAGTTTAATTGATATTTAAGATTTGACTTTGAAAGAAAATTAATTAATTATACTCATATGTGTTATGACAAACATTTGACAAAACTCAATCTGTTAAGATAAATATCTGTAATTAATGGCATATGGTCACTCGAGCTCCGTTTAAGCTTAAATAATTATCTGAGTAGTCATCAAGAGCGACTCTATGTCTTATTTATAATTATACTTGATTAACCCCTTCATTGTAAATATACTGTTAGAAATTTATTCTACAGTCAGAATATTTTGGAACATTCTACGACACACTGCTTTATATGTCTATTACACTGGCTATCTAAGAGACTGTCCACCAGTCTGCCAGTAGACTAAGTAGTGTGCCGGCTAAATTTATTTTATTATTTTAAAAGTTTATTTCACTTTTTATTTTATCTACCAACTAAAATCTCCCAATTCATACTTCAATTTATTTGTTTTGGCTTTGTTTTATTTGATCATAGTTTATACCGTAATTGAACTAAGTTGTAACCTACTAAATTGTATTAAAAAAAAAAACTGTCTAGCTGCCTTCGAGTTATATAGCCCTATGCATATTCGATCTTGGTGTTGTTAAGCCTAAACATAGGCTGACCCCCTGTCTCTTAGTTAGCGCAGTGTCAGAGTTAGATCCCCTTATCTACTGGTGCCTGTTCCTCGGTGACAGATGTATGTAAGTTCAAAAATGATATAGACAGTTAATATAATTTAATAAGAAAAAACATACCATATACATTTAGTTGCACTGTTTTCGAGGCTTGACCAAGCGCGCTGGACGCTGTGCACATGTAGGTTCCTGAATCTTTGTCGGGATCGAGATTGGCCAAATTAAGAGTTTCTGCGCTGGAAAAGGGTAAAACACTTGATGATCCATTTTTGGAGGCTAATATCCATTCCACTTTTGGTTTGGGGTGACCATGAGCATTGCAATGCAAAGTGATGGTTGTTCCCTCAAGAGCATGAATCTCTTCTATTGTTTGATTGAAATATGGTCTTTCTGAAATAAATGAATATAAAAATATTACATGTACATGAGGATAACATTGATATTTTTCACCCCCAGTAAATTAGTGTCAACTGAGACGCAGGCAACCTTTTCTTTTTAAAAAAATCATAAACTATATCATTAAAAAAAAATCAAAAGACAGTCAAGAGTGTAGAGGTGTGTGTGTGTGTGTCTAAATTGTTAGGTGCTATGAATGCTATAGGTGGATGCCTCAATGATTAGGAGCTAGGAATGCTCTGAGGTGGGTGCCTCAATGGTTGGGTGTCTGTCTGACTAAAAATCCCCACACAACCAGCTTATGCTTATTCATTTCTGTTTACCACACAATTATATTTTTTTTCTATAAATGATTTTCCAGAGTAACTAGTCTATAGCATAATCTATAGAATATAAATATATGTCCTTCAAGGTTCAGAATGAGAAGCTGGATTGGCATGGATACAAAATTCTCTCTCTCTCTCTCTCTCTCTCCTGCACTCATTACCTAGACTATCACAACATGAGGATACTGGATGTGCAGACTGCACAGTCACAACCTCTCCACGATCCCCCTTTGCTCCCGCCTCCCCTTTCTGACCTTGAGGACCACTTGAACCGTTGACCCCTGGGTCACCTTTTTCCCCACGTACCCCTGGAGGGCCAGGTGCCCCAGATGCTCCTGATTCTCCTTTGTCACCCTTAAACATAAAAGAAGATGCATACATTGTATATTTTGAATGCAAAGAAGTTTTGAATCTTTTACCAAATCTTTTATCATTCAATTTATGCTTATCAAAATTTTTGAAGCTAGTATCGGAATGAAATTTTGCATGTTATATGAAATATTGTGAATACCGGATTTTTTTTCTAAACCTGCAATATATTTAGATTAAAAATAGAGGGCACTTAATATCCAAGATACATATGTGGTAAAAAAAAAAAATAATAACAACAACAGCAACTACAACAACAAACAAACAAACATGATTTAACCTTTAACCCTGGGAATCCTGCAGCTCCCTTGGCCCCGGGAATTCCCGGTGGACCAAAATCTCCTCGGTCTCCCTTGGGTCCTAACATGCCAGGGTCACCTACTCGACCTTTTTCACCTTTGACCCCTGGTTGTCCTGGGGATCCGTCTTTTCCAGGTGGACCCTCTAAGCCCATGTCTCCTTTATCACCTTTGTCACCTTTTATTCCCGCCGGGCCGCTCCTCCCCGGGGTACCAGCTTCACCCTTGTCACCTTTTACCCCTGGGAAACCGAGCAATCCCGGTTCTCCTTTTAGACCTTTAAGGCCGGGTAAACCTAAATCGCCCTTTGACCCCTGAAAATGTTGAACATGATTAAAGAATTTATAAAATAAACAGACTAGTAATTAGGAGGAAACAAAGCAACATTCCCTATAATGCAACTAAAGAGACAGCAGTTATATCCCTTTAAGTTATTTTACTGTTCTAAAAAATAAGCAAATATGTTTATAAGCAAACTGTGCCTTGAATTCTGGTCTAAAGGTTGAATGAATATTTAATTTTTTTTAAAAACATGTCTTACATTATTCAAAACTTCCTCATAAATACTTTTTTGTTACTTATTCTTTAAATAAGGCAATAGTCTCAATGCAAGGATACTAAAATGCCATAACAAAATTGTGCACTTTGATACAATTTTGCATTTACTGCCTATTAATAGGGTACAACATGATATTCATGTAGCATATAGGGAGTGAAAGAGACAAACATCCTTTTACAAATCATTACTAATATAAACATTTTATATCGCCACTTGCACCCCCGCTCAGAACTAGAAAAAAAATTCTTAAACCGACGCCTTTTTCATGAGTAAGTATATATCAACATGGACCAGGTATTCTTATGTTTCAGGGAGGGAAGACATGGCCATACCTTCTCACCTGGTGAACCAGTATCCCCCTTTATACCCGCAGTTCCAGCAAGCCCCGCGTCTCCTTTCTCACCCTTGGGCCCTATTAAAATTAACATTGTACATGTAGAGCCATTTATCAATCACCGTCAGCCTATGTGGGCCTATGCACAGTGTTAACTGCTGACATATGTGCAGCTTCTTTTGGTCAACTTTAAGTTTTTCCAAAGATCTATTGCTATTAACATTGTAGAGCCGTTTTACAATCACATTGAGAGCAGCCACCAAAGGATCTCTTAGCTACGTGCTTGATTAGCCTATATACGCTGTTGACATTCGCAGCAACTTGTGACCAACTTTTAGTTGTCGAAAGATGATGTGCAATTTTCAGAATAACAACTTTTGCAGAAAATGCATGCCAAGTACTTCTTGGTGTCGAAATTTATGCAAAATAGCCGACCATATTATCTTAATGAATAACAGTTTGTTAGTTTTTGTAGAATTTTACAAAGTTAAAAACATACCTGGTAGGCATATTGTGCTGTTCTGTCCACAATATTTGTTGAAAATGGCAAGCTGAAAGTGAATCATTTTATATTCGTCTACTTTTGGATCATTGCAGCTTTGCATCTACATTTATTTATATTTGACTCCCTACCTCAGAATTTGCAAGTTGTTCAAATATCTGCGCCATTTCATTACCAGTGGTGCTTTGGCGTAGTTTTCGCGCTCGTTCTGTGTCGTCTGCTTTAAGGAAATCGGTAATCTCTCTCACAAAATTACTTATAGTATCAATGTCGTTTTCGACGTTTGTCTGAAAGGGAATAGATTTTACAAAATACCTTGTAGACCACTGTCCTTAACGCAAATAATCATTAATTTATAAAAGAGTTGGTGTAATTCAAAGTTTCTCTATCAGTTTTCTTGCAGTGATTATGTACATTTTTGTCGAAAATATTTTCAAAAATATACGTTTCTTTGTTGTAGTCATAAACCTAGAACTAAGCGAGTTAAAATTGTTCAAAAGTTTCATAGTAAGTTTTCTTAAACTTCTTATAAAATCTTTGTTCCAAATCATTTTCTGAAAAAAGAATTCATATTTAAACTGAAGAGCTTCAATTTCAGGTAAATGTACTTGCCTTAACGTTTCTCCGTAAACGTAATCCGTCGTTGTTGATTGTTTCAACCATAAGTCCATTTTGCTGTTAAAAAAAGTACGTATTGCACAAATTTATGGCATACTCATTGAACTACTTATGCACCAAGTCTTGCTGAGACTAGCAGAAACTGTAGGAGGAGTATTGGTATGAATGAAAAAATGCAGAAATGAATATTTTTGTTACCATGGCAACGCTGGTTTTTTTTTTTCGAAATCAAAATCTGATGTATATAATCCTACAAAAATATTTATTTTAGTTTAATCTACTTATATGTAGAGTTTTATTGAAATTGGACTGAAACTGTATAGGAAAGGCAGCATTTTGAAAGAATTACACAGATTCTTTTTTTTTTAGTAACTATGACAAAGCCTTTAACATAATCAAAAACTGATATAGAGAATTATGAATTTATGGTTTGTCTACTTGTGTACCAGTCTTATTGAAATCAGACCAACACTCTAGATGGGGTAGCATTTCAAAAGAATTTCACAACTTTTAAAAATTTTGTAACTAGAACAAAACTGAAAAATCCAAAATGGGTGAGAGCTAGGAGTCAAGTATCTTAATATAGTCTACCTGTGTACCAAGTCTTATTGAAATCAGACCCAAACTGTAGGAGGGGTAGCATTTTGAAATCATTTTAAAGAAATGTCTATTTTTAGTAACCATAGCACAAGCCTTTGTGAAAATAAATTAAAACCGATAAATAAAATCATATATCTTAATAGAGTAGTCTATTCTTACTGAAATCAGACCAAAACAGTATAATGAGTAACAAAATTAAAAATAAAATCACAGAAATTTCTATTTTTAGTAACCATGGCAACACCGTTTGTCAAGATCAAAAACCGATAAGTAGAATGGTGTATCTTTATGTAGTCTATACTTGTGTACCAAATAAGACAAAATCTGTAGGAAAAGCAACGGACCATAACTATAAGAGATGCATTAATATAGAGAAATGCCACACAAATCTATTGGAAACCTACATGAAGGCATCATCATTCGTCGAAATAAAAAGAAAAATGTATCTTAGGATAATCTACTTGTGTACCCAGTCTTACTGAAAATGAACTGAACTGTAGGAGAAGAAGTGTTTTAAAAATTTACAGAAATTTGTATTTCAGGTAACCACGGCAACATTTTGTTGAAAATCAAAAACCTATATAAGAATTCTCTATCTTTGTGTAGTAAACTTGTGGACCATGCCTTATTGAAATCAGACGAAATCTTTAGGAAAAGCAGCGTTTTGAAATTATTTACAGAAATTTCTTTTTTTAAGTAACCATAGCAACATCATTTGTCAAAATAACAATTCTGATAAACAGAATTATGTATGTTGGTTAAGTTTACTAGTAATTACTTGTGTGTGAAATCTTATCAAAATTGATCTAAAACTGTAATTGGATTTCTGTTTTTTAAAAAAAAAATGATTACAGACAGACAACATATCAAAGCGTTAAGGTCTTTTGGTCAGTCATTTGAGCTTAAAATAGATTTGCATGAGGGATAAATCTTCCAACGTTAGCATGAATAAAAATTTATGTTACAACTATAGTATGTACAATTTTAGCTTTTTTCTTAATCAGACGAAGGGTTTTTTTCTTATACTATTTTAAAATTCACAACCTTTTATAGTATGAACTTGTGATAATATATATATATATATATATATATATATATATATATATATATATATATATATATATATATATATATATATATATATATATATGTATGTATTTATAAGGAGGACCTATACTTCAAAAAGTCTTTGAATGAAGTATTTGAAACTTTGGTATTTTTTATTGTCAGATACTTAGAAATTTTAGATAATAAAATGTTTACCTGTATATTCTAATTTTCATGTTTTAATTAGCACGTGCAAAATCAGACTGTACTGGTGTAAATCGCTACGAAACTTGATTTATAGACTGCATCAATTTTACAAAAAAATGCATTAAAAATGAGCCACAATGCTAAAATAAATTGAAATCAGCATATACATGTATATATCTAAATCATTAGATATATCTTTCAAATAATAGCAAATGTACTGGAATTCAAACAGCACAAACTTCAAGCACAACTTAAGTTTCACTCCATTTTATTGAAGCATTATAACAATTTTATCATATACATGTATTGTAGAGGGGAATGAAAAAAGTCTTTGTGTGAAACTTTTGTAATTAACATGTATTTGGAAGAAATAATCTATCTAATGATTTGGATAAAGAAAAAAGTTCATTACCTTTATATGCAATGAGAAATATTTTCGTTTGAGGAACACACTGATTTATCTATTACACATGTACCTGATTTCACGCATTTTATTTTACTGTAATTCACTTTTTGTCAGCGACATTTTCTTTTATTTTCGCGTAATTCCACGAGCCTGTTTTCTCGCAAAAATGTCATTCTCGCGAATTTTTTTTCGTACTGTTTAGAGCAGTTTTTGTAAATATACTGTATATCATCAATTAACCATATTATTTCTGTGTTAAACCGCTTTGAACTCTGAATTATGACTGATCTTGATCTGAACCAAATGTCAATGAGCGACTGAAGTTAATTTTTTTACCGGCATTTGAAATTGCTACAAGTTATTAACCAAAAAGAAAAAAAAAAAAACAATAACAAATTCTACACAGATTAGAAGGAAATTGGTTCAAAGGTGCATTGTACATGTATGTACGATACAAATAATTAAGCTGCTTCGAAAAAGAATATAAAATGCAAACCCTTCGCAATTTCACATTTACTTCATGCATAAATGTCCATGATCACAATTTTACTGTTAAAACTAATCTTCAAAACATATATTAAACATTTTAGAACAGGCTGGAAATAGTCACGTGTACTGTTGACTCCTTTCATCCCTTATATCATTAGACAATTTTACACTCACTTCCAAGAGTCTTATCCGTAACTCATTGTAAACAGTAACTCCGACAAAAGCTCCCAGATGTAGCACCCCAACACAGTACAATACTATCAGCGCTATTCTCTGCCCGCCGCCATTGGAGTGCATGGTTCCCCCACAAGTATTTACATCATATCTATATCATATACGGTCTTTTGGCCTCGAGTTCAAAGTGTCTTATCTTATTGCGACCTGTTCCATTGAAATTTAGCATAGACCGTCTGCACCAGGTTCCTATCTATGGTGAACCCTGTAGTCAAGTTGGAGAAAGACTCAAGTGCAGAATTATAGGATAGTCAGCGGGGGCAGATTTAATGTCATGCAGCACCCACATTTAAGAATCATTCTTTGCACCATGGATGCTAGTCTCATATTAAAACCAATCCTTCTATTGTTGGTTCAGTACACCTCATGGTCATACACTACCCTTACCCGTAGCCTAGTGGTAGGGCGCTTGCTTCGTGATCGGGAGGTACCGGCCTCGATTCTCGTTCCCGGCTCCGCGTCAAACCTAAGACGCAGTGACTGTTCCTTCGCCAAGCGTCCGGCACTAGAAGAGAAAGTCACGGGTCTTTCGAATGAGACCTTAAAAAACCCCAGGTTCCTTGTCATGGTAGGCGTTGGCACGATAAAAATCCCTCACTCAATGCTCAATGACCTTGAGTGCTGAAAATGGTCTAAATTTGAAGCCCTTCGCCGTATATATTGATGTCTCAAATGAGTGAAAAATTTTCTAAAGGAACGTAAACAACCCAAAATATTACGAAGTCATCTAAGTTATTATTAAGGGGACACAAGCACAGGCACTTTTTTCGTATACGGGCCACCCCTTACTTATTTTTACCACAAGGGACCTAATTCAATTTAAGGCACCCCGCTTCAAGCTCATATTTTGTTAATATATCAATCAATAACCTACTTTAAAATGACATCGTTCCCTTCAAGAGACCTTTTTCTTGTCAATTAAATCGTTTCAGACGTCTCTGGTCGAGCCTCTTTATTGTAAACCACTCATTTATTCCTCGAAAATTACCTCGATACAAAATAAGACTTTGAATGGGATACAAAAGCTTCCGGTTGGGGTTATAAATGTAGGATAAAACCAGAGACTTCCGAGTATTCCATTCCGAGGTCTCTGGTTTTATCCTTCATTTAGATCTACGGCACCTGACCATAAGATAGTCATTATTTTTTTTTCACTATATACTTCACTGAAAAATGCCTTTTAAAAAACTATTGAAACGTTGTTTGTTGCTCATTTTTAATGAAAATATATGCAACATCATTGAATGCAGAATTTGTTACAGTTTGACCCACTAATGGCCATATATTGTATACAGCAGCCTTTGCAGTTGGTGAAATATTCTCGAAGGGACTTAAAACAAACAATCAACCAATTTGAAGGTTATACACATGTTTATCGGATCTAAGTCTGTTAAACTCATCTATAAATATGGTGTGTTGTAACCAATATTGAAAGTACATGAAAATCCAACGTTTCTACTCGTCAAGACATTAAAATTACCACTCGGGGAAACCAAGTATAAGCGTTTTAACAATAGAGGTTGTTATTGCAAAAGTGGTTAGAAGTGTAAATCGCTATTGAAATAATATCCACTATTGAAATAATTATTTCAGTAGTGAACGTTATTTCACTAATGGTTGCAACCTGTGTTCGGTTTTGAAATGCACTTTCAACCACTATTGAATGAAATATATGGAGATAACGAACAGTATTCAAGCTCAAAAGTCCATTAAACAATACAAAATAGTAGCAGAGCAAACAAGGACCTCCAAATCATCAGAGGTGGGATCAGATTCCATGGATGAGTGAGCCTTATTTCAATAATGGTTGCAACCTGTGTTTGATTTTGAAATGCACTTTCAACCGCTATTGAAATAATTATTTATTTCAATAGTGAACGTTATTTCAATAGTGGTTGCAACAATGGTGGCAGAGTTCTGTCACAAATGTCGGATAAATATGTCTACTTCTCAGATAATTATGTTGATTTGTCAGATAATTATGTCGACATGTCATTATATCTTTATTTTGACCCTTGTTAAAAAAAAAATCAACATAAAAATTTGTCCATGCCAATTTTGTGCCATCCAGTTGCAACATATTTTTTTCTGACAAGTCCACAATAGGACCTGACATTTGTCAAGTTGACAAATTATCTGACAAATCGACAATTATCTAACAAGTCAACAAGTTTCATACACTATAAAGTTTATAAAAGAAAAAATATCATCTATGACAGCAAGATTCCGAAGCATGCGCACTAATAGAACACTTTATATTTCCGGTGTTTTAACTTCACTTCCTCTCTCTCTCTCTGAACTGATAGAGAAAGAGAAAATAAATACAAAAATATTCTAGTTTCTTATAAAATTTTATTTTTTTGAGTAAGAATTGCACAAATGTAGAGTCTCATCGGACAGAAATCAACACGTTAATTTCTTACAGAACTTTTCTTTGGAATGAATGAATTTGTGGTTTGGAGCATAAGCTTACAAAATAAATATTTTTTTTTTTTTAAAATGTCATCAAAATCTTATTTTTCAGCATTAACTGCAAATGCCTATACATGTATATATGCTTACAAGTAAATGCAAATATCTTGTATAAATCTATTTTTAGTTTTTGAATTTCAATAAATACTTCGAAATACGGTCTGTATGAAAAATCAAGTATAAAATTTTGATTTCAATGGGTATACCCCAAAAATGTTTGAAATGATGTGATGAACAAATCTGCGCATCTCTATTAAAAAATGACTGTTTTGAACATCCTAATAAATGAACCTAAAGCTGATAATGATGAATGCATTGAAAATTAAGACAAGTTCTTGTGTATTAAGCACCTGCACTAAACATCGGTATAATCATACAAAATTATTCAGTAAATATTTTCAAAAAAATTACAAAAAATCAAATGTATAATGCCTGCGTATACACATTTTGAATTTTTTTAATTCCAAAACTGTAAGATGATATTAAAAAAGGGGAAAAAACTTTGCCAAAAGAAAAAAAACTAAACTAAAATCTACACTACTGACATCTAATCTACAAATTTATTAAAAACAAAACAAAAAAATCTTTGAGATTAAAAAAAAAAATAAATATGAGCATTTCAGAAGTAAGTTTTACGGTTAAGATACTACATGCATGTATAGTTTGCCAATCAAACATAAATATTTTTGAGACAGTTTACAAACTGAGAAAATATAGCATGATAAATCACCTTGTTGATATTAAATGTAAGAACATTTACTACTTAATTTACTTAATTATTTTAGCTAGATAACTATATGTCACCAAAAAAAAAAAAATCCCCCCAAAATATTGGAAAACTACCCATCCCCCTTTCTGTGAAAAAATATACTTAAAAAAGGCTTTATTCTTTTTTTCTAAAGTGAAATATTTGACCGTCCATTTTCAATGTGTACACTTTACACTCATTCAAATACATTCGGAACAATAAAATGTTTCAACCTTTGAGATCATAAAACGAATTACTAACTACAATATGAATATTTTGGTACAAAATATTATACATAGATACATTTTGATAAAAAAAAAATGCATATAAAACTCATTATGGAATGCAAAGGAAATGGCTAAACGTGGTTGATGAATGATGAATATGAAAAATGTGGTTCCGATTGGACGAAATCTTTACCCATTAATATTTTTACAAAGTCTAGACTGCGTACTTGGATTTATATTGAGATCAATTGATAAACGATGACACATGACACTCACTGGCTATTGGCACATATTCATTTGAGTCAGATTCAAAAAGAAGAGGGGCATAAAAATTTTAAAAAATAAATTTAAGCATTATAAATCAAATACATTATAAATCAAATACATATCATCAATTATTCAATCATCTCTGTATCACACTCAATTTATATATGAGAGTTGTTGAAAAATAAAAATATGCAATAAGCTTGGATATTTTAAGTTTTTTTTACCACTAAGACCACCTGTCAATTTCAAAATGGCAAAATGGATGTTCAAAAATATTTTTCAATTGCATTACAAGGTATATTTGCCTTTAAAAAGGGAGAAATTAAAAAAAAAATACAATTTTTATAAATGCAAATAAAAATTTGGTATTCAAAGGGCAAAATTTTATAATAATATATTTATAGCTTATATAAATCATTTCCAAAAATCTGCATGGACTGAAACTCCCACACTGTATGAACAGTTTAACACGGCTAGAGAACAAAAGGACAAAAAAATGTACTATCTCACAATGTTAAGTATTCATCACCTTCCCTTGCTTAATCAAGACAAAGTTTACAAAAAATTGGGGGGGGGGGGGAAGGGGACATTCACCATTAACAACTTCCTCACACTAAAATTAGCAATATTACTCAGCAGTTTAAAAACAACAAATGACAAACCATATACAACAAATACATGACACACTGCAGACAAACTATGGCAGGAAAAAAAAACATACCACCTGAGTAGTATAGGAAAAACATTTTCTTTTTACCTCCAAGATGAAGCTACACAAAAAGAGAGAGAGTCCCTTAAATATACATATATTATATAGTAAAAATCTTAAAAAATGTGTCTTAAAAATGATACAATTTCTTCCTTTATTGGCCAAAACTTCTATTTAAACCATGAAATATTGAGAAAAAAAAAATTAAAAATGAAAATTTTTGATGTTGTTTTACATATGGTGGTAAAATGTATAAACTATGAAAAGAGAAAAATGGCTATCATATGCAGAACAAAATGTGTGAATATGGCACACTCCTGACTAGGAAAAAAATTTTGGTTACAGTTATGGAAGTCATGCATCTTCCAACATGTCCAAGTGATTCTACTCTGAACACATTTGTAATTTTTCTTAAAAATTGTAGAGATAAAAAAAATTTGAAGATTGTGTAACTTGACACTTCCAATATGCTTGAGCTTTCAAAAGTGAAAGTAAAAGTAGCTGCAAACATTTACATACATGTACAACATGGGAAGAAAATACTTCAAATATAACACATACATAATTTTTTCCTCTAAATATTTCTACACATCTCACCTATAAACAATTTTTATAGGAATGTAAAGGCAAATATATTCTCCATTATGGCACACAGTGTTAAGAATAAAATATTGCTATAGTTCTGCTATTAAATATTTTTCTTTTAATAAAGAAAAGATGGTGTAAAAATCCTGAGTTTCAAAGCTTGCAAATGATTAATGAATGTGTGAAATAATTCAATGGAATGAACAGATTGATTTAAATCTTAACTACATACATTTTGACAATATGAAAGAATTGTCTTTGGAAGGCAATATGGCTGAACACACTTATACAATTTGCATATTAATAAGCATTTTGAGCAATGGCTGGTTTGTTTACAGGTAAAAATCAATGTTTTATTGAACACAGAATATTGAACAACCTACTTTTATAAATCTATTGGCAAAGTAATTGATAATCGCATTAAGATTTTTTCAAAAAAATTGTATAGATAATTCCTTAGTGGAAAAATAATAAAATGCAATTACATAAAATGCATGAACACGTCACTTAAACGAACCTGGCTGACCTGCAGTAGTAAGTAAAAATTAATAAATAATTATGTTTATCAGCTACATAATGGTGCACAGAGCAACAGCACAATAAAAATATTTGTCTATGTAATCCTAAATTTTGAGCAAACAATTTTCAATTGCTGAGGAGCAAAAAAAAAAACACTTTATTTTACCACAATGAAGTCCATGGGTCTGTTCGCCTCTACAGCAGTGTTGTGGAATCTTATATTCTGAGCAAGCAATTTTCAACTGCTGAGGGGTAAAAAAAAACAACACTATTTTTCCACACTTAAGTCCATGGGTCTATTCGTCTCTATGGTTGGGTTGAGGAATCCGCTCTGGGAAACAGGGGGAAACACCTGTGGCTGAGATGCCCGTGGGAACATGTTCATTGGATTTCCATATCCAAAGGTAGGGGGCAGCCCATTGGAAGTTGTAGCAGGAGTATTGTATTTGGCCCCCGTTGCATTTGGATATGTCTGATTTGCCATGGCGTTGGCAAACAATGCCATGTGCATGCCTTGTAGGTGTTGCATCTGTAGGAGATACATTTGCTGCATATCGGTAGGATTACTTGGCATCATGGAGGGCATGCTAGAAATCTGGTTGTCTGTAGCTGGTGCCTGACCATTGTTGATTGGAACACTTTCATTGTTCATCTCAACTTTCTTTCTCCTTCTTCTTCTCTTTTTGGGTTTTTCTTCTTTTTCTTCATGTTTTTCATCTTTGATTCTGTCAGGACTTAAAATGGCTGAAGGCGGGCTTGCTTGATCAGAAATTCCTACAGCTGAGTCAGATGACAAACTTGAGCAAGGTGATGAGGCAGACTTCAGGCTTGAATTCTTTGCACACATCTTTGAATCCTGGGAAACTTGGTCTGTGTCAGTTATTCGACCAACATCTAGAGAAATATCAAACTTCTCTGTTTTAAAACATGTACTTTTGATGTTATCTGGATTATATTTGGGGACATTCTGGCTTTCGTTTGTAATAAGCATATTATTTTTGCTTTGCATGGGATTTCCTGTGGAGTATTCCTGAGTGTTTGTATGAGACATTAGGTCCTTATTAACATCTTTTGCTGACTGGTCATCATAATGTGTTTCCATGGATTGAACACTTCCAGATTTTGAATGAACTTGAAGAAATTCATTGGTTGGCGTATGAGACCTTACTTCATTGTCACATTGACTAGATGCTGAAGATATGGGTGAATATTGAGGAGTTGATGAATATTCATGAGGAGGTGGAGTTTCTACAGAGATCTGACTCACATTAGATCTTGGCAGTGATATGGCTGAATCTGCTTGACTGACATTGGAGTCACTTCTCGGTCTCCCAACATTATCCATATTTCCACTATCAACGCTCGCAGATGACAAATTGGACGGACTTTGTATCTTGCAGAATAATTCTTCAATTTCTGCTGCAGATGGAATGCCTTTCTTTCCGTTCTTCAATTTGAGATCAACAGCTTTCCCGATTTCCTCTTCATGTTGTTTTTCAATGTGTTTATACAGGTGACTAGTTTGGGTAAATTCCCTGTGGCAAAACTTGCAAGTGTATGGCTTAGAAGTATTGTGCATGCGCATATGAATTGTTAAATGATGGCGATGAATGAAGGCTTTTTCACAAATATTACATTTGTATGGACGGATTCCCAAATGCATCTTCTTGTGCTGGCGAAGAACACAGGCTTTGCTGAAGGATTTTCCACAAACATCACAAGTATGAAGTTCATCCGCACTGTGAGTTTTTACATGTTTCTGAAGCTCTGCATTGTCTCTAAATGTCAGATTACAGACCCCACACTTGTATGTCCTCTCTCCTGTGTGAGAACCAATATGCATTTCCAAGTAAAAAACTTCGTTGAAGCTTCTTCCACAAATATGGCACTTGTACGACTTCCCGCTATGAACGCGGAGATGTCTTCTCAAGTTATTGTACTGGCTAAATTCTCGATCACACTCGTTACATTTATACGGCATGCTTCCAGTATGGGTGGTCCTCATGTGTCGCTGTAGTTCATAACTATCACTAAATTCAACCTTACAGATACCACAGCTACAGGATTTTTCATTATGGAGTTTCATATGGTTGTGAAAATTTCCAACTTGTGAAAATTTTCTACTGCAAACTTTACATTCATAAATCTCAACAACCTCACTCTTCTCATCTGATTGACTTTTATCATCTGATAAACTTCCCTTTCGTTCTACTTTCTGGTTTCGGCGGTTTGGTTTAGACTGGCGTGCTGTTTTAGGTTTCTCCGGCTTTGGAGACTCATGCCTTTTTGGTGACATCTTTGGGCTTGATACAGAATCAACTTTAGAAGGCAAAGGAGATGTTGGAATTGGATTTGCTTGTGGAATATAATTTGTAGGTTGACTTGAGGTCATTGGAGGCATGAACATCCCAGGGTTCATAAACATCATAGGGTGATGAGGAAAATTCATAGGCATGGCAAAGTTTCCATACATATTCATATTTATGGCTGGATACATTGACTGTTGGGTCCCTGGATTTGCTGGCACTGGTGGATAAGGCACCCTATTTTCTTGATGTGACATATTATATGCGCCACCAAACATGTGACCTGGTTGAATGGTATTCATCTGCTCAGGAGATGTATCAGTTTGGACATGTCCTGGAAACTTTGAAGTGGTGTACAGTAACTTAGACTTTTTTAATTTTTCCCGAATTTCATGATTTTCTTGGTCAATTTCCCTCTTGGCTCTGTTGATGATTTTCTCATACTCCTTTTCCAGCTCTTCCTCTTCTTTTTTCACCTCACCTTTTGTCTCAAAATAATCTTTCCTCTTCAACTTTTTATGTCTGTATGACATAAATTCCTCTACAGTTGAGGAATCATTGCTGGTGTTTTCTGGAGGTGGGGGTGAGGTGCTGATGACTAACCTATCTTCGTCTTCCTCATCATCGTCATCTTCATCATTACTCTGAAATCCATTCTCCAAATTCTTAACCCTACTCTCCTTGCCTTCCTGCGTACACTCCTGTGAAGCTTTCACAGCTTCTAAAATTTTGCGTTTCTTTGGATGGATTGCACTACCGTCATCCATGGGTCGTTGCCTCTTGCTCTGGTATTGGTTTAGCTCTGTCCTGAGTTCTTCGGTGTGATCACATACAATGTGTTGCTGTAAACTTAGCAAAGTCGAAAATTTTTCTTGGCAATGGCGACATCCATAGGATTCTGAAACACAAGGAAAACCTTGGTAAGAGATATGCATGGGAATGTGAAATATACATGATGTATTCCCCCCTTCTATATATATTTATATATATATATACTTGTGTTCCAACTATTGTGATTAGTTGATTAGTCCCCCCCCCCCCCCCCCCCGGCACAGTGGTTAGAGCATTTGCTTTGGAGTCCGGGGAGTAAGGAGTTGATCCTTTAGTTACATTGCAGGTTCAAATCCACTGTGACAGGGAGGTCAGTCTTTTGGATGAGACCATATAAACCGAAGTCCCATTGTCACAGTATGTATAGGTGCTGGCATGATAAAGATCTCTCACTGCTCAAAGGAATAAATTCATTTAGGTTATTTTGCTAATTTTTGATTTCAGTACAAAAAGTAACTCATTCTCATTATTTGGTCGATTTTCTGAAATGTGTAAATTTAATTAATTTTCTATCTTTAATAAGCAGCAGGTGATTCTATTGCATTGTGAGATATAGGAATTTTTACATACTCAAATTGACAATTGATCATAATTCAACAGTCTCATTTTGCTTTAATAACATGTATTAATTAATTCTCATATGATAAGAAAATCTATGTACATGTAAGGTTTGTTGCTGCTGTTGTTGTTTTTCTGTAATTCAATTTCTAATGATTTAACAACCAAGAGTTTATCAAATCTTAATTAATGCTGATTTCTTGTAAGGAATTATTGACTCGTACTTGCCATTTTTGCACATTAATCATCAAGAGCTATAAAAGTGAAATAAATGAGATTGCATGATTTAAAAAGAAATGTCCTATGAATCTTCCAAAAATCTTCCTCTAAAACATCCTGTCAGTCCACTTATTTAAAATGTTCAATGCCAAGGTTAAATCACAAAGGGATCTTAAATATATTCAGTAATTTGGACATTCACGCAGATCTGTTCGAGAAGAAAGAAGGTCTGGCATGTGCCTGATATGGGGGAAAGGCGAGGTTTGTCAAACTATGATGTATGTTAGACCTTGAGAATGTCAAATTTTTAAATCTTTGAAAACAAAATTATTTTTTCTGTGAATCTTAATATCCCTTTTTGAACTGTTTGCACTGTATCAAGGACATACATGTATACATATATGTCTATACCGGTATATAGAACAGTTACCCTACATTACAATTTATTTTAAACCAATATTCTATTGCCAAAAATTTTATATCGCTGTATATCACAATTTTCCCCCAAACTATCACAATAATATCATGATATTTTTACACACAATTTTTACAATAATTTTAAATGAATATCCATAATTCTTCCTATAAATATGCTGAAAAAACATAACTTCACTTTTTTTCAATTGTTATTTAATACATAATGTAAAGCATGTTTGGATGTTAGGATGCCGTTCATTTACCGTTTTCAACATTTTTTTTTTAACACTTCCTGCAATTATAATTTAAAAAGTTTGAACAAATAAATGAATAATTTCTGGAATTTATAACTATGTACTTAAATACTGGTATTTTATTCTCCGTATCATGATACATATCAAGCAATTAAAAATCACGATATACCGGTATACTAATAAAATCACACATCCCTACCATTCACGTCTTAAATGCTTTTTAAGTATGTTTTGATAAATTTTGATAGAAATTTTTTGACTGCATCACTAAACCTAAATTAATCCCATCCAGAAAAGAAGTATGTTTACTGTATATTTATAAATATTTCAAATAATGCTTGTCTTGTCATTTCTGGCTCAGCTGTTAACAGTTTAATAAAAATCTTTTGATATAAAGGCTTTCTGGAGTAGAAGCATTCTAAAAACATACCATTTTTACTGTTAGTTTCATTGCCCAGACTTCTCGTAAGGTTGTTTTCCGGAAGAGTTCTACCCTTGAGCTTGTCAATCATGTCTGTCACCATGGTTACTTCTTGTTTAAGCACGCCCATAGTCCCACCCAACACTGCATCCATCATCCCTGGAAATAGAAAAAAAAACATTGTTACTTTTCTTATATATCATGTGTATATTGGCACATTCTGCTGTTCTACTCCATTCTATTTATCATGAAATATTATCAAACTAAATGCAACACAATTTCCTTTGATATGAGTATTGAACTCTAGAATGCACAAAATAATGTTACAGTAAGAAAAAAAAATTACAAAATCAGATCAGGGGAAAGCATTATTTGCCAATATTTGGGGTTCATGATTTTCTATGAAATTTCTACAGGAAAGGGGCATAAGTCCTGCCAATTTAGTAGATTTTTTTTTTTACAGATGTTTAGATTCACTTCAAAGTCTATTTTTCATTTCCTTGCCTCATGTCAATTGATAAAGTTTCTGGGCAGAAATTATCAAAATTTAATATCTAGGTCAAATTTTGTGTCCAAATCTTTATCAGTATGTTTTCATTTATTATACAAGTCTTAGTATTGAATTTTACATACTATGATCAATGTATGCTAAATCTTAATTTAATGGAAATTTATTCATTTTTGTTCTGTTTTAAATGCTGTTTTCACTATCTTGTAAAGAAATGGTAATATTTTAAAACTATCAAAAAGTAACTATATGAAATATGACTAATATATACAGGTACTGTGAGCACTGAACTTGCAAAATGATACCCTACACTCTCATATCTCATCAGACCTGGGGTAATGGTAATGTGTAATGGTAATGCAGTGTACCCGGGTAATCATTACATTTTTTTAAAGTAATGGGATATAACGTGTAATGGATCCATCTTTCAATTAAAAGTAATTGTAATGTAATGTAATCTCATATGTTCATTTTTTGCTTTGGGAAACCCCAAATATCTGTCCAATCAGAACAAAAAATAGGTGATGCAAATTGACACTACGTAATAAAGATTCTGTTACAGTATCATTATATTTTATTCAGTGGTAAAAGAAGGAGTTGCAGATAAGAGATGGGTATCTCCAGTATCATAGAAAGAATGGCAGTGTCCTTGTTTTGCTAAGAGAAACACCAAATATCTGTCCAATCAGAATATAAAAAGGGTGCATAATGGCATTATGTATTAAATAATCTGTGAAAGTCTCACTGAAGTTTATTCAATGGTATAGAAGGAGTTGCAGATAAGAGATGGGTACCCCTAAATATTACAGAAAGAATGCCTTGTTTCTATGTTTTGCTATAACGGTAAACCCCAAATACATGTCTGATTAAAACATAAATTAAGAGATGCACAGTGGGGCTATGTAATGAAGATTCTGTAAAAGTCTCATTAAAATATTTTAGTAGTATAAGAGTTGTAGATAAGAGATGGGTATACCCGAAAGTTTTATAGGCTGAAGGAAGTACGGACAGAAGGACATACTACCCCTATATATCCCCCGCTTTTCAAACAGGTATAAATATCTATTTCAAATTACCCCTATATATCCCCCACTTTTCAAGCAGGGGTATAAATATCTATTTCAAATTTGATTATCTATGTTAAAAAATTTCCTATTAAACTGTATCATATAAGTAGAAATCAAATTACCCTTTCATGAAAAACAGGGATTTTCTTTTAAAGTCATTCCTGGCATGGTTTAATATTGATACTTTTTGTGACCATGTTACATGCAACATATATATGCTTCACTACTTGGATAGAAAAGAGAAAGTTGTGGAAATACTAGGAGAAGTTTTTAAATGTGAGGGTACACAAAGGAAAATGCTTTTTCATGTTCATAAAGATCATTCCGGTTATATTATCCTGTTAATATCTGCATGTAACATTGACAGAACAAGTAGAGAAAACTTTATTTTAAAAGAATTTCTGAAATAGAGAAATAGATGACAAATAAAGAGCAGTGATTCATTTTTAAAATGGTTATCATGGGTCCAAAGGACCCCTCTTAATGAAAATAATGAGTCCCATGCCAAAATCAATGCCTCCAAAACCAATGGTACGGCATATTATATACTACAGAGGAAATTCTGGTGAAATATAAAAGGGTATTGCACGAAAGCGCAAAAGTTTTATATCGTAGCTGTGAATGGTCTATACTTTGACTATTGAATTGGAAGTAAGAATACATGATTCTGTGGCATAATAATAATATATTGTAACTGTGCACCTTGTTTCTATTTTTAGATCATAAATACGATCTTCAATCGTCATACACAGAAACAGATCAGTAATGAGTTGTTCTATTATATGTAAATGAAGTAAAGAAAGTTTTTAATGAAAACTAGTCAGAGAGAAAAATTATCAAATTTTATAAATTTACTTTGCTTCTAAGGAAAAAATTAAAATACACAGGTTAATCTTAAATACAAAGGTATAGTATACTTTTCAGAAATGTTCCACAGTAGGCATAATTGAACTATGCTATCTTACTTCTAAATATTTTCTGATGTCTGCAATTTAACAGTGAATTGTGATATACCTGTAAACAGTTATAATCACTCATGCATATCGCTTAGCATGTTGAAAATATGCAATGGGTCAGTATATGGAAACAATCTAAAATAAAAAAATTTATTGCCTCCATTTGAATACACATTAATTGAAATAATGTGTCCTGAGCAAAATTTGTGCATAATTTACGCAGGACGCAGACCAAAATGAATCACTGAAAGAGTACACATTTTTTAAAAGTTGAGAGTACGTTGTTTTTTGATAAATATATCTCCTATTAAGATTTTTAATGAACTGAAGACGATTTGATGTCAATTCTAAAATATTGTCCATCTTACATGCTCCGAATTCATTAATTTCCTCTGCTTAAAAATGATAAATTCTGGTTAAAAATTGAAATATGATATATCATGTGTACACAGTTTTTTTTTTTTTTTTATCCAAATTCGAATGGCTACTATTATTTTATTTTTTTTCCTTGTAATGTCACACTTTAAGTTAATTGCATTAGAAAATTCTTACCATATTTAAATGTAATATGTATTTAAATGTTATATGTATCTTCAATCCGGAAAATTTTCATATCTAAAAGGGGAATTTTTGACATGTTTACCGTTTACCGGTAGTTAAGACATCATTGATAAATCCCTGATTAACTACCTAACTTAGATTGTACCACCACAAAATCTTGTTATTGTTAATTGATGACTTAAAATTCATTGATACTTCACCATTTTCACATAACAAAGAGCATTTCCTTCTAAAATCTCCCCCTCTAGTATTCAGTGTATTATGTTACATAAGGCAAAGAAAGCCTTTGTTTACATTGCTAATTGCCAAGACCTGAAAGTCTTTGTTTACAATAATAATTGCCAGACCTCTTTGCAGAAAAGTAAAGTACAAAAACCCCATATCCTCTATTAGGTAAAATTACATAACCCCCAAAATCAGTGGTACTACAAAATCAAGCCATGATGATGAAATACTCAAGTACACAAAGAGAATAGGGGAAAAGTGTTAATAAGCTTTAAGACATGTGTGTGTATACATGTGTTAGCAAATACAAGCAGGTGCTCCCTAGAAAAAGAAAAAAAGCACAGCTACATGCCTGAGCTGTGTGTTAAATACATTAATTGATGCAGCTCAATACATTGGTCTTTGTGAATGTATTGAACAACAACAATAGGTTTAATCAACAAGGGGGCCCCAGGCTGGGTACACACAATAGGGGGCCTAGTCTCTTTGTTTGTATGGAGATAATTGTTGTGTTGTTGTTTTTCTTTTTTTCTTGGGATTATTCTGAGTCAAAGGATTACAATAAGATTATCCCATTCTATGAAGGTTTTGAGTCATTCTGTGTATACTTGTTGGATTTGCTTGTTATATAATATGTTGACTTTTTTAATTGATAATTTTCCTTGTAGCTGTTTTTCGGAATTTTCAATTCAAACTGTAAAAAAAAAAATTGGGGTCAATTTTCGTTCACTTATATTTTTTGGACACATACAAGATAGTACAAGACAGTAATATATCTATTTCAAAGTGTAAAATTAAGAAAATAGTTTTTTTTTATAGTTAATACTGTCATTGTTATAAAATTAGTATAAACACCGGAAAACTAATTGGGTGATATTTTTCTCTCATATGCATTATTTATATAATAAAGAAATATTAACATGACTAACCCCATGCGAAATAACACCTTACTATTTTGTTTTTTGAGGGGAAAAATGTAACAGGTGCATGTACCCTAGCTTTCCCCATCATTCATATAATTAATATTAATGTATCAAAGAGAGCTTTAAAATATGTCACAGTTAGATATTGGTCCTGGGGTGTACATTAAGCACAGCATCAGGATTTTGATTAATGTATTCACCCTTTGAACATAAAACACCTGGGGTAAACATGACAAGAACATGTATCAGTCAGTATACTTGTGTACTTGATGCCTTTCTTAATCTGTTAAATAATACACAAAAGTAATAAAAAAATTTCATAATGACATGCAACTCTATTCTAAACCCCAACCATTACCAATATAATTTTTTTTTATATAATGATACTATATAACTGCTACCAAGTCACTTAGACAATGAGCATCAACTCATTTTTTCAAAAGTACTGCTGGTACATGTATTGCACTGCTTTGTCAATTGAGTATTTCCCAAAAAATAGTCCAACACTAGAAATAGAATTTTTCTAAGAAGAACTGTTTTCAGCAAATGTGTGGTTTTGTTGTGTATTAATAAAAAAAAATGTTTTAAGACTTTCTTTTAAGGAAAAGTTTAAATTGTCTTTGTGTATTCAATTCATTTGAAAAACCCACATAAAAAGGTTTAACTCAAAGTAAAATAAAAAATGTATATAATTGTAAATTCTCAGGTAACTTAATCAACTGTGCTGTAACTAGACTGAACACGCTGGATGAGTTTCAGTCTTTGTACCTTGACGTGGGGGTCCTTTGTTTATTTCTAGATCATCGACCTTTGTTCAACGATTACGATACACAAAACCGCAGATAATGGCCACGTCAATTAAAATAAAAATTCTCAAGAAAGCTAACTTCTAAAAATAAATAATGCATATAGGAATAGGAAGAGTCATCAATGACGCATCTATATAATCAATTTTTGTTTGTAACTAGTACACAAAATGCAGCCATGTGATTCACCTGAGCCTAGGAGAAATGTTTACATTCGATGACGCGTTGATCTCATTTATGGGACATACTCGGCATACTCTCCACAGAAAACAAATGTAGCTTAACAAACATGTGCAGTGAAAAGTTTTCCTAAATTTATGCTGCTTAGATTGAAAAATAAAAACCGATTTACCTGTCCGAAATCCTTCTGTTGTTCAGTACCGAAAGCCATTCTTCTTTCTTTTTTCCCTCCGTCAGCGTCAACCGTATGCTTGAAAAATGATATCAGTCAATGGTTCAATAAGCGCTTTGGGGAATAGGATTTTTCTTTGTGAACGATAAAGGAAAACCGACCAATCATTTTCAGTGTTGCATGTCAGCGGCGGGATAATTAAGTGGCACGGATCTAACGGGCTAAAAGGCTCTTTGTTGATCTATGAAACGATATTGTTTAACTTACTGTATATGATAAAAACCTTTTTAAGATATGGAGATAAGTTTGTTGAATATACGACGCTTTTAATAAATCAAAAAAAAAAAAAAAAAAAAAAAAAAAAAAAAATGGTAGCAATATTCAATTCGTTTATTGACCAATTAAGGGCCCTCATGGGACAAAAAGAAAGTACATTGTTAAAATGTATATAATGATTATGATCATACACACGAAATACAATATACATATACATAAGAGATATACATAACACAATATTTTCAAAGTGTTTTTAGAGCTAGATATTTTTTCACAAGCAAGTTTAACATGAATGAAAAATTTTGTAAGATTTTACATGCAGCTAAACTTGTTGGTTTTAGTCGTAAGTTCTTTTTTGAAACGAAATCCAGGACTCTATACATTGGATCCACTTGGGGACCTTAAGGCAGTCAACGTCATTCTTTCGGGTACCCTGCATGGATGCACTGTGCATGTGCTGGCATCATATACACAGATCTACAGGGAGATATCAAACATGTAGAGGGTCCTGGTAAAATGAGTCATATATAATATAATGAATATACAATACTACTTATATAATAGTGTTGTACTTCGCATGCACTATGCCTGAATAGTAGTCAGGGTTTGACACATGGTGCACGAGTCGGAGGCGAGTGCACTATGTGTCAAACCCTGACTACTATTTAGGCATATTGCATGCAAAGTGCAACACTATTGTTATTATTATGCTGACTGTTGTATAAAAACGACAATATTTTCTCCATTTCCAATGTTTCATCACCTCTTGCATTCATGTTAGTACACCCCTATTATGACGTCACGTTGTGCTACTTGTACGTTATAATCTTTTTTCTTTAATTTTGAATGTTCCATGTACAGATAGTTTCAGAGAATTTTAGTTGTGTGAAGGGTAAAAAATTGCAAGATATACTATTTTATAAAAATTATTTTGTTTATTTTTTTTTTCTTTTAGTGTAAAATATTTGAAACTAAGTTTATATATATTATAATACAGTGCTATAGATAACGGCGTCTGTGGCGTAATCGGTAGCGCGTCGGATTGACAATCTCCTGTGGCGTAATCGGTAGCGCGTCGGATTGACAATCTCGGGGTCGTGAGTTCGATCCCCGGCGTGGGCGCTATCGGTTTTTCTTCAGAAAAAGAAGCCGTGCTCTATTTCGGCATAGTATGCTTACGCTATATAAATCCTTAGACCACTATGCGAAAATAGTTGGGTATTGACTATATAGTGACAAACTGACAGGAAGCATAATAATACATATGAAAGAAATCGACTTGTCATACTACCCTCCCCCCTTTCCAATAAAAAAGTGAAAAAAGTTTTCGGATTAATTTGGACAGTACTTGTGCAAGATTATACTACCCCCTCCCCCTTTAAGGTACAGAATGTCTACAGTAGTTTATATATTACACACTCGACCAAAGAGGGAGTGGGGAGGGATTGGACAGTCGGGGAGTGGTACTGTTTACTGTTCAGGAAAGTGTGAGGAAGACATCAGACAAATCTCGGGATGTATTTACCACTTGGAATCAAATTTTAAAAAAAAGTGTGCGGAGGGAACACAAAGATACCCCAAATCTGAAATATTCCCCCAGATTCAAAAGTGGAGGGGGTAATTTAATTAGACTAATATTATTAATTATGCGAATTGTAAAAATTCGGTCTATTTCAATATTTTATAGGCAGACGCTTTTTCCTACATTCTGAAAAAATGGCATTCTATAGAATGTAGTGATATTTATCTGCTCTTTGTCTGTTATTAAGATATTACAAAGTCTAATATTTTACGGCATTCCACAACCACGTCATCTCCCAGTCATAACTGGGAGACGATGATTTGCTGAATTTAATTAAAATTGTTTGATTTTTCTTAGGTAGTACATGTATATTCAAATTATATTTTTCAAATCCGAATTCTGTTTTGAAGACTAAAGCAGTTGTCATTTTAATTGTCTCATTTTTTTTTAAAAAAAGAAGAATGGTTTTACAGATAAAAATAGCGATCCCCCATTTTCAAAAAAAAATTAATACACTTCACTGTCCGAGATCTAGACTGATGAAGAAAATTAAAAGAATTTCTGGGGACATCAATCCAAAGTGAAACACCCAAAACACCCAAGACTTTTTTGGTATAAATAATTTGATCGGTTGTTTGAAAAAAAAAAAAAAGAGTTAATGTAATAAGTAAAGAAAAAACAGCGCACATTTTTCTGCAGAAAAAATACCTTGCAAATGAAGCGCTCTGACCTGCCAACCATTTTTTTCAGGGAAAACACACAGAATGTTGTTAACATTGAAAAAGAAAGCAGTAGAAATTAACTTATATATTTATAAGATATATAGATAAGAATTATAAGTCCCTCCGTCTTTACACATGACGAAACGTAATACTATGTTTTGTAAAGGGAAAGCCCCCTCCACCCCACCCCACCAGACCCACCCTACCCACCCCCAAATCAAAGTTCAATAACCTGCCATGCCAATAATCAAAAAAGGATGAAAAAAAGGAAGAGATGTTTTGCATAAAGTAAATACTAAGGGGTCCCGGGTGTGGGGAATGGAGGCACCTTCACCTCCCTCTACTCCTACATGTATATGTACATATAGGCTAATTATAAATACACATTATGTTTATATTTTAACCTTAAAATTTCTAAAATTCAAGAGCTTATATGGGGGCTTGGACCCCGGACCCCCACTAGACATTCTGTGGTTCTCAATGCGGCCCCCGATCCCTGCTTCTGAAAAAAATACAAGCCACCTGATTCCTATACGTACATTCGCCCTAGTAAGGCCTACATGGATGAAGGGGATCGGGAGCTACATATTTAAGGGGTAAGACGTGGCAAGGATCAATATAATTCGATTTGTGTTGCATGCCAAGTACATGTTCTATACAGTAACATGCGCGGATGGGGGGTTTGGGGTTTGGGGGGATTCGGATCCACCCCTGGAATTTGCAGAGTTATTAAAAGTATATGTTACATCAAAGTTTTTGAGAACTGGATTGTATTTTTTTTTATTTTGCATGTCAAGAAATTTTTGGGTTGGACATTTTTTTGACTGGGGTGGACCCCCCCCCCCCCCCCGGAAAAAATCCTGGATCCACGCCTGGGTAAGTATAATTTAACACATGAAAAACATGCGTAACTCTTGTTCATATTGTCACGTTCTAAATTTGAAATTACCGGGTGGGAGCAACTACAAAATTTAGAACATTTTGTCATGTTGTAAATTTGTATTTACTCCCACCCATGCAGTAAATTCAAAATTTGCACTGTAGCACGTGACAATAAGATAGAGATTCCTGATCTCTTCACAGGTACAACGTGCATTTATTTTATTATATATTGTACAATTAAATGGCATAACAGTTTGATGTGGAAGGCAATTGAGGAATATAAGGAAGAAACTAACCAGATATCCCCCTTCCCCCCTCACCCGTCAAAATATGTAATGCGGAAGTAAGAGTCGGAGAAAAAGTTGTACAGGGGAAATATTTCAGATCTGTCTTCTTGATGAGGAATCAATGCTTGTTTACCATCGTCAACCCCTTTTTTGGATGAATTTTGATAGAATAAAAAAAAAGCAATTCTGGGTTATTCAAGCATTTTGTGGATTTCAGGGCTTAGTCATTTCTGAAGGGAGACATCTATGTATCTGAAAGCTGTGCACTCATTGAGGAAAATACATCCCCCATCCACCACCCCCCCCCCCCCCCCCAAAATATGCCAATTAAATTTAGGGGTATACAAACTTCAAGTATTGAGAGTTTTTGTTGTCATTAAATCCCCCCCCCCCCCGGACACACACACACACACAAGTACACAGCTGCAAATCTTTAATTTGACCGTGGAAGATCATCACGCTTTGAAATGATAAATTTGAAAAGAATTCTGAATAATTTTTAAACATACAATAAGAATTGCCTATTGATCTCTTTATTTACACTTTCCCATTCATAAAGCATCTTCATTTTATGCGTTCATGGTCAAAACACTGCCTTCGATCGTAAGAAGAAGCTCTAGAGAGTATATAGGGTGACACAACCAATAATCCCCCTCCCCCTCCCGGAATCTTAATAGACTGCATCTCTAAGAATGCAATGCACAGCAAACGAACACATGTTTTTTCATAGTATGTGTGAGTCTGAAATTACCCTGTTCTTAACGGCTTTACTTGTGTTGAATATTTACTCAGAAACTGAATCCAAAATAAAATTAAAAAAATTAAACATTATCTTTGATAGACACTTTAGTTTTAACCGTCCATTAATAAAATTGATATACTATATTGCTCAATTAATATCAATTTTTCATTTTATATAGGGGTTGCTTTTGATAATTTCGATGCTATAACATACTTAAGTACACACGACTGCTTGCGCTATAGTAAAAGGAATCCGTTGACCCTTAATTTTAAACTTAATTGTTAAAAAATGTAGCGTACGTGACAACTGCACATAAATGTAATTAGATAAATCTGGGTCAAAGACAATCTTGTAAGTGTATGTCCTCTGTCATTTTGAAAATTTAGAATTTACCGTCTGGTAGTAAATACAAAATTCATAACATGACAACTAACATGAATTTTTACTGCCACCCGGTAAATTCAATATTTACAATATGATACCTTTACAAAATTTAGAATTTGTACAATTTAAAGTATAATTGGACAATCACATACTAATTTAAATTGAACAAATTCTAAATTTGGTAAAAGACATAGATTTTTAAAGACTTGATGTTTTAACTTTTCCTATATTTCCTATAGTATAATATTAGCCCAAAATTTTTCGATCGATCAAATGCAAGTGTAATTTTACATAACCTGGAAAATTTAGTAGGGCCGTGCCCTCCTCCCCCCCCCCCCAATAATTTTGCCAATATATAGAATACAATAGAAAACAAAGCTACTATATGCTTGTGCCCCCTCAATAATTACGTCGGATGACCTTTTTTCTGGCTTGAATTTTTTGGTAGTTGATAGTGCCCCCCCCCCAACTGAAAATGTATGGTTGTGCTCCCTAGCTGAAATTGCTTCCTACCGGCCTGGTACTACCGTGTATCCTAATGCAACGTGGGGAGATTACACAATCCTTGCATTGCAAAAGATACCACTTAAATACTGGTAAATTTACTGAGGGGACACAACTTTAAGTAAGCGTATTTTTTTTTTTTTGTAGTAAAGTGGCAAAATAATTTGGGATAATCCCCTCCCCCGTGCCCCCTCCCCCCGGTCTACGGGCCTCTCAGGTGCTTAAGAGTGTTTTTTTCTCACGTCCTGCGCCCATTAATGATTGAGCTTTTTTTGGGGGGGGGGGAGGGCTTAACAAGAACTAAATAAAAATCATTAATTTTATTGACTGTATCTTGTCAGGGTCTAGTTGTTTCTGACAAAGTTTTTAATAAAGCGGTTTTTAAAAGCTCGGTATTTAATTTTCCATTGGCGGGTATGTCTGTACCCGGAAGAACTGCACCCGTAATGCGCGAATCTCTGCCACGGTCAGTCAAAACCGAAAGCAGGACTAATTTGTCTAACAATTTTATAACTCTGTACCCCAGGTAAGATTTTATATGAATATAAAGAGTACAAAAAGGGACAGATAGTAGTTACCAATATCTAAAGTGTGGAAAACATGTACTTAAAAACGCTGATTCATACGGTATGTGCTTGGCGGATTTCCCCGACTATAATAATTTCCCATTCTAACATTGGAATATTTACATAGCTCTAGAGCCTTGCAGGATATCGGGTATGTTTTATCACACTATCAGTTATTTAACGTTTTACTGTTTATAGGTATTATATAGGATATCAGTTTACTATTTTGATTATAAGTAAATATATTGAAAGAATATATATGTATATATAGAGATACACCTAGCATAAGTGGATCCAGATTCGGCGGGAAGGGGAGGGGGTGGTTGTTAAGGAGGGGGCAAAATTTTCAGTGAACTTAATTTTTGTGTAAAGTAACCCCCCCCCCCTAAAAAAATTTTCGGACCCTGGCAACACGGACCCCTCGTGATAAAGTGGTATGATTCATAGATAAGAGATAAATATCTACTAGTACATTGTTTACCAAGAGGACTCTTTCGTTAAGGTTATTGTCTTTTGATTGGAAAAAAAAAATCATTCTTCTGTTTTGTTTTGAGTGGGTATAAAACCCTCCTTTAATCCACCTACCCCTCAAGTTAGGAAAAACCCGTACAACCTCCCGATATGTGTGACCGAAAAATTCTCAGTTCCTATATATATGCAACGTCAGCTATTTCCTAAAGTACTATATAATAAAACGCAACAAATTTGTAAACACAATGATCAGTGGGTTGGATATATTAAATATTCGTTTATGTTTTATTTGTTTATTTATTTATTCTTTATTTATTCACTTATTGTTTGTTTGGTGCATGAAAGGGTGCGCTTTAATATATGGGAATATAGACAATTATTATACATGTACATCTCTATTAAAAAAAAAAATCTGTACATCTCGGCTTTGAAATTCATTCCACAGTGATTTGCTTGATTTTAAAGGAAGAATGAAAAGTGTCATTTGAACAATACTACTTTCGTTTTAATAGATATATATTTCTGTGAAACAAAATTGTTATGGGTTATGCATGGTAGAGGAAAGTTCCTGCAGATCTTCTTTCTAGCAACAAAACAATGCTGAAGACATCTAAATAAGAAATATTTATCTTGTCTGTGCAAAAACCTCTGCTGACGTAGATTAAGCACATAACGTACATATGTAGTAACGGTTGGAAGCCACGAAATACATTAACACGAGAGAGAGAGAGAGAGAGAGAGAGAGAGAGAGAGAATATATCAAATATATGGTGTCATATATAGGACGCATAGTGTAAAACAAATATTGTTTTTCAAATGAGAGAGAGAGAGAGAGAGAGAGAGAGAGAGAGATTAAAATCAAGCGAAACCCCGTTCCTAAGTGCATTTTCGATTCAGGGGCTTTATTTTCAAACAACGTCTCGGATTAAACGTGACATTCAGCAATATAAGATAGGAAATTTGATATTTTTCTAGACTTGTCAAGTTTTAAGATGTATATAAATTAATCATTTTTAATTTTCTGATGAACACCCTTCAGGAGAAACCCGGAGTAAAGAACTCGTTTCTTTACACCTACCTTGTTTGTTTTATATACACGTTCTTTATGTTTTTTTTAAATTGTGCTCGTTCCCATCCTTGAATCATTCACCCTGGGCTTCCCCCCACAACCCCAACTTGTTGTCCCCCTCCATTTAAAAATCTTGGATCCGCCACTGTGAAATAAAATAAATACGTGTGTATGTTGAATTTGTCACTTTGAAAACAAATTCTTTTTGTTAAATGTTTGGAATAATTTTTATTTCATTAAGTCAATGTAATTATCTTTCAGAAGAACTTGGATAATGTTTACTAGGAAGTGAAATGGCAGCTGGATATCCAGAGTATCAGGTATATTAGATATAGATAACATATTACAGAATTATTGACAATTTATTGGGGGTGGTTTGGGATGTGGGTGGGGGGGGGGGGTGTTGACAGCCATCTTCACTGAGTCTTATATATAATAGAAAAAAGGGTAATTAAAGCAGGATTAAGTATGTCCCCCCCGCCCCGTTTTTTAAAAAGTATTTCCAGTTGCTTATTTTTTGTAATGCATGTATTATGTTTTTATATATTTATTTTTTCAATTCTGATATTTTTTTTTGATCGATAAATAATTTTTTAAGGGCTAGTTTCTTTTTCCTATGTTTGTTGACCATTATTTTATCATAATTTCCACCTTCCCCTGTTCTTCGTAAAATTCCTTATACACATGTCTTGACATAATTTATATCTTTCAAGTATTTATTAAGATTGTAGGAAATATTAACCTCGCAGCTTTACTCATATAAATGTGCTTTTTACAGTGATAGAATATTTTACATTGTTTATACATAACATGTAAAATTTCATATTTTTAGCTCTATACGAAAACAGGCATACAGACATGAGAACATCTCTTTTATAGTGAAGTTAAAAATTCAAGAGTTAATTGACTTTTTTCCCCAGAATGATTCACTCGACCGTGCAGAATTTCACAGAAAAAAATACACACCTTATCTCTGAAATAAAAATAAATTACTAAGCTGCAAGAGACACGACCTCATTCGTTTTGTGGGGATATTCTGTGCCGGCACCCCCCCCCTTCTATTTTATTGTCAAACGATTTCTTCTTTGAAATTTGATTTAAAAAAAAGGAAGATTAGAGATATGTTTACTGAAATATATATTCATTATATTACATACTTGACACAAGTATTTCGGATGCACTGCAATATTCAATATGCAAAGAAAGATTACTCGAAAAAAAATACTGTGTACAAGTAGAATTAATACAGTAACACGTTCATATAGTGTATCGTAATGTTTAGAGTATCGGGTCTAGAGAATTCAGTTATCACTGGCAAATAAATCTCTACAGGAAGAAGAAAAAAAAAATAAAAGTGGTCATAACGACATTTCTTTTGGTCCTGCATGTTTGAAAACATAAATTTATAAGTCAATACAAGCATACAAGATGTGGTACCTTTTACATGTATGTGTACTTGGCCGTGCTCAGTTAATTGCATTTATTTGCGGTATCATTTAATTCTCAAAGCAGTTTGTATTTTTCATATAATACAAAAAGTGATTTTAAATTCCAAATACAAAGATCGTATTTCGGAGCACGGTTGGATTAAAGAAAAATATATAGGCGAGGAGTGGGCAAACACATTGAACATTTCCCAAATAAGTAAACAAATTAAAAAAAACAAGAATAGATAATTTATTTATTTAGTCTTTCAATCTATTGCCTTCTTCAACACACGTGATTTTGACAATTTCCTCCCATTCCACCCAACCTGTATTTATCTTTCTCTCAGACGTGATAAAACCAGCTTAATTATGTAATTTATTAGACTTTTTGCTTATTTTCATCAGAAGTTTGTTGTTGGGTTTTGAAAGTTCATAGCTGTAGTTTTTCTATTGTATTTAACAACCCGTCGCATTTCTGTAGATAGTCAAATTATTCTTTATCTATTATTTTTTGTATAAATCCAAAATTTTTAGAATGCATATATGAATTCATCCGAGGCAGAACACGTGCTTACAGGGACATATACATGTGCATCACATCTTATCCCGAGTTTCTGTAATTAAATTTTCAATTTAAAAGTACTAGTTACTGATAAAGTAAAAAAGAAATGTAAACCAAATGACGAGTGCATGATTCATGCCGGAAAACACAGCTACAAATTCGCAAACCTCTTAAGAACCGTTTTCTAATGAAAAAAGAAATCTTAAACATGTACGTTAGCAAAGAATACATTTAGGCAAGTCCAACAGAAGTACTTGATCAATCTTTGAAATTGGATTTCTTTTTGACAAAGGTAAAGGGAATGCACCCCTGTCCTACAGAAAAAAAAACTATGTCAAGTACACATCGCTTTCCTTTCTGCACTGGTACGAGAACTTTGGACGCATAAATCATTCTTCTACGTCAGAAACTTGGATTTAATTCCTAAATAACTAAAATTGAATATGGGCTTTCTACAAATATATCAGTACTCTTTTTATGTGAATCGAACGTGATATCAAACATTGACAAATACTGAAATATAGAAAAACAAGATGTGTTTGTCCTTGAGACAAGATATTTGATTTGCATTTGAGAAAGTTTAACCTTTGCTATACATGTAAGTTGCCATACGGGGGCATCAGTGTTTCACAAACACATCATGTTTTTTTTTAACTTTGCTTGTCAAAGAAATTTTTATGTCCCCGTATCGAAGATTCGGGGGTATATAGTTTTTGCCCTGTCCGTCCGTCTGTGTCTGTCTGTTTGTTTGTCCGCAAAAACTTTTAACATTCCTTGTGACAAGACCTTTCTTTTGATACCATCATATTTGACCTTTTGACCTTGGAGTTTGACCCAGTTTTACAAAATTTTTCCCAACTTTAACCTTGGCCATAACTTTTGAACGGTTAGAGCTAGGGCTTCCATACTTCACATGTGTAATCCTTGTGAAAAGAACTTTCTATGGATACCAACAACTTTGACCCTTTGACCTACGAGTTTGACCTACTTTTGAAAAACTTTAACATTGGCTATAACTTTTGAACGGCGAATGCTAGGGCTTTCATACATCACATGTGTAATTCTTGTGACAAGGCCTTTCTTTGGATACCAACAATTTTGACCCTTTTATCTTTGACCTACGAGTTTGACCTACTTTTGAAAAAAAAACTTTAACATTGGCCATATCTTTTGAAGGGCTGGTGCTAGGGTTTTCATTCTTCATATATGTAATCCTTGTGACAAGACCTTCCTTTGGATACCAACAACTTTGACCCTTTTACCTTGACCTTGGAGTTTAACCTACTTTTGGAAAACTTTAACATTGGCCATAACTTTTGAACAGTTGCTGCTTTGGCTTTCATTCTTCACATATGTAATCCTTGTAACAAGCCCTTTCTTTAGATACCACCAATTATAGCCCATTGACCTTGACCTTTGAGTTTGACCTACTTTTGAAAAACTTTAACCTTGGCCATACCTTTTAAACGGTTATTGCTGGGGCTTTCATATTTCACATGTGTATTTCTTGTGAGAAGGCCTTTTCTTGGGTGCCATTAATTTTGACCATTTGACCTTAATGTTTGAATTACTTTTGAAAAACTTTTAACTTTTCCATATCTTTTCAATGGTTGCTGCTAGGGCTTTCACATTTCACAGGTATATTCCTCGGTACAAGACCTTACTTTGGGTACCAGCATATTTGATTTGCATTTGAGAAAGTTTAACCTTTGCTATAAGTTGCCATACGGGGGCGTCAGTGTTTCACAAACACATCTTGTTTGTTCTGTTTTACCAAAAAACTGAAATCGTGTCCTATTCGCCTGATACTTCAAATTTTCTTTTCCTGTCAACTTATATGCTGTTGGAGCCTCACTTGTTTTTCGCATGCTTATAGAAAAAAGCAACGGAAATATTTCTTTAATATTACAAGTTATATGATCATTCATTACATGTAAATGGTACATTATTTTTTTCTCATTTAATTGTAGGGGGTGAAACCCCAGTTTTCAGAAAACCTTGGCGAGAATATCGCAATAGAAGAAGATGGTGCCCATAACTGTGTTAAAGCCAGATGGAAATTTTCAAAATCCGACGGATTTGCATTCTCTGATCTTCCGCTCAAAGACGACCGGAAGTATGAAGCCATCTTTCACGGAAGTGGCCATGCAAGCATTGGGCTTACACAGACGGAACCAAGCCACTTGAGTGATATACAGCAAGCTGTCAAGAATAATCAGATCGTGTTGGTAACCGACGTTCGGTTCCATAAACGAAAATGCACGGTAGATATTGTTAAGAAGGCAGATAGTAGAAGAACATTCGTGTTTGAGACGAAGTACAAGGATTCCCCTCCTCAAGGGAAGATTTTAATGCCCGGTGCTGAAGTATGGATAGTCATTTACCTAAAATTTGGAGAAGGCATGACAGCAGAAATCAAAGGTAAACAACCAAGAATTAGTTTTCGACAATGAAATCAGGAGTTTGTGCATTAGAAATTGTGTTAGTTCAGAAATTTAATGGGCTGATTTCAAAGTTAGTTAATTCAACAAAAGACCGAACAGCTATCAGTAGAAATATCTTTTTCGGATAAATTTCACAAAGTTTCCTTTCCTAAAATAAAAAGTCACACATGTACATTATTTTCAATGTTGCGTGTCTAATATATGCTCCAAAAATATTGCTTGTATTTATACTTTCAGATAAAGAAGACGGGTCAGCTTTGCGATTTCACGAAAAAGTTGACAGAAATATTGATTTACAAAAAGAAAGACTAAAAATATCTCTGCTGTCCCCGATTCCTCTGGCTTATGCAGTGCTAGAGAACAGCCTGGAAAAAAGTCATTCTGTTCATGTCAAAACGGAACACATTGACGACAAAGAAAAGCCCAGGCTTTATCATATCAAAATAGGAATCTCCAACAGCAATGCAAATTCGGCCAACTCTTTGGAATTTTGTCCAAGCATTGCTGTGAAATTAGAGAGAGACAATTGCATAGGGGACTTTTATGTCTGCATATCCATCAAAGGGAAGTTTCATGTTCATAAGGATAACAAATGTGTCTTCACAAAAACGATTTCTCCTGAAGTGGATATTAATTTGCCGGTGTACGTCTGGTTCGAAATTTTTCGCATCCGATTAGAGACGGTAGAATGTTTGCACTGCTTTCATGAATCAGAGGCAATTGAAAACACAGAGGGAAGTGTCAGAGACATCTCTTCGCCATATGCTAAAGTTGCAGTAAACCAATTATTGAAGACATTGAGAGGCGTAGATCAGGAGTTGGAATCGGGAAAATTTACGGTAGAAGTTCAAAAGACATTAACTGATGCTACAAATGATCTGGAAAAATATGTAAACCTTTACTCTCTTAATGCTTCCAAAGCAGACGATGAAATTTATGAGGAAAAAGAAGGATACCTTACACCAGTTGATATAATGAAACCTTCACCTAGTTCTGGAAGATTACCCATAGAGCATGATGTTGATTCATGTGACCAACCAACACTAAAAACTTTACAACAGATGTTAATACAAATTGAAAAAACCGCCAAAGCCCACCATTTTGAAAGACAAACTTCTCTTGATGAAGTGATGAAAGCACTGGAAACAAATCGAGCCAAAATTGAGAAAGTTCGGAGTTCCCTTGATAACGTTAGCATACAACAACCCTCTCGTAGAGTGACTAGGTTTGAGTCAGTTTCCTTCCAAACCCATTTGCAAAAAACTTGTGCTCAATTTATCCAAACTGTGGAAGTTTTCCCACTCTGTGATCACTTACTTCAGGACGATATCATTCATCAGGAACAATATAATAACATTTATGACGAACACAGACGCCAACGCATCGAAGCAAGTAGAACATTATTCCATCATCTCTCAAAAAAGCAGTACACAACTGACAAAATCGAAAAAATAAAGCAAGCATTTATCGAGACCAAGCAGGAATATTTGCTTCCAGACTGGAAGTAACCGAGAGGTTGCATTGTTATGATTTTTGTTAGTGTTCTTGACATGTTTTTATTGATAAATTGAAACTTAAAGCATAAATGAGTTTATTTCATTCTACTCAATTATCTGTAATACACAGGACGCGTTTCAAGAAAATCTTATTTAATTTGAACAATAAATAAGTACTTCAGATAATTACACACAGATTAAATGTTTCATTGTAGGAGAGGAGATTCTGCTCCCAATGTGTATTTCAACGATACCAGTATTATTTACGGAAAATACCGTCTAAAATATGTTCAAATATATTACATATGTAGTACATGGATGATACTCTAAAGATTTCTTATATATATTAGGGATCGCAGTCTGTAATTGGTTAACCGGTCTCTTGGTCGGAACGATGGAAATTGGTTAGAAAATCTGTCTGTGAGCGCTTTCTTATAAATTTGCAGGTAATTAAGTTGCTCCGCAGTGCGATGGCGGGGGTAAATGAATTGGGTAATTTCTGAAGTGTTAATCACTGTTTAATCACCGTGTCGTTACCAGCCTAAATTACATCACTGCTGTGAATATCTTAACCCGTGTTTCTTTTTCAGATAACTATCAAATTGTATGATTGAAAGAAAATTACCCTTATCAAAATGAAATCCATTTTAATACCATTTAAAAGACATTTCTTTTCTGACCATTTTAAAACCATTCGGGAGCCATTTTATATCGTCGACACTTTCAAGAATTCTCAACAGAAAGGATTATCATTTAAAAACCATTTTTCATTTTATTTCCATTCAAACCTCATTTAACATCCATTCAAGCTCCTTTTTTTTTTTGGGCCTTGTAACATGCAAATTAACCATTCCAAAACCATTTATGCAAACGAGAAGAAAAATGAAAAATAAATGGTTTTTGTTTTAACCATTTAATATCCATTTTAAAAACATTTTTACAATAATTGAATAATGAAAAAAGCTGGGTTCTCAATATCAACAGAATAAGCACTTTAAAAATCCATCTTCTTGGTAGTAGAGTCAGTCATGAAACAAAGGTCAAATGTTTTATTTTATCACAAACTTGGTTTTGCATTCCTAGAAATTTTGATGGATTCTCCAAACTCGATCTGAATAATGGTAGTCTGCATCTTTGACAATTTACAGTTTCCACGTTCCTTTTGGTTTCCATATGCAAGCAGTGCGTATTCTAAAAATAAAAGAAAATGCATAATGAGAAAAGAACAGAAAACTGCTTTGTCACATTTTTTTTCACTACTGCAGCTGATCATTACTCCTGTAGCATTAATCCAATAACTTTTACAAAGTTTGTCCTCATGAACAATTTAAGTAAACATGTACAAGTATTGCCCTGCCTGTATTCACTATTTCATCAGAAACAAATGACTTAATTAATAGGTTGAATAGATTGCAGAAGAAATTTAACCATTTACCTGAGAAAATTGAACAAGAAAATAGTTACAAAATAACTATAATAGAAGTTATTAAGAATTTACAATAGAGTCCCTCAGTCTATTAGTTTTAACTAGATTGGTTTATAAATTAATTATTGCATCAACATGATCAGTGGACACTCCTAATGTACATGTTTTCTTTGGAAAAAGCATTTTTCTGTTGTTGACATTAATAAAAATATGTACATATTTATACTTACTTCTCAAAAAGAATACCCTTTCAGTGATGGTAAATGTCTTGTATTTCTTCTGCACCACTCCCGATTATTAGAAACATTAAAACTGTCACATAATCATCCTCCAAGAAGTTAGTAATCTTATAATTCTGCTTTGACCATCAATGTACAGTTTTTTCAGCATCAAAAACACTAAAAAAACCCCAATCTTCCTTGAAGAATAATTCAGCCATCTAAGCTCCATCACTACCAGCTAGGTCGAAGTGCTCTTGTCCAATGTTTAAAATAACTGAAAAAGGCGGTCACCACAGAGCTGGGGAGGAAATCTGATAGCCACTGGCCCATTATACAAATTTGGCACCTGGCATCAATTAACTGCTGACAAATCTTAAGGGTTAAGAGTATGCCTAAAACTAACCATTTCTTCATTTTTCCATTTCTCAGAAAATAAATGGAAGAAAAATGGCAAGCTCAAGCAAGTTAGATCACCAAATTGGCATTTCTTTTCCATTTACTCAAGTAAATGGAGAGAAAATGGTGTGAATTTACCATTTAAAAAGCATTTTCTAACAAAAATGGTTTTGAAATGGTTCTGAAAAAATGGTTTTGGAAAATTGAAAGATCGAGAAATGTAGGAAAAATGTTTTTGAAATGAAAAATGGGTAGAAAATGCTGAATGAATGGAGATAAAATGGAAAAAATGCCATTTCTTTTTGCTATGGGATTTTATTAATTTAGTGATAGTTAAGACAGTTTTGATTTTGGTGACAATGCATCTAGTCTGAAAAGTTGTCACTGTCTCAAGTCGTACCTTTTAAAATAGGGATGTCCTGAAAATCTTTTAGACAACGGGATATTGAAAGCCAAAGGGCAAACAGAAAGTATTCCACTTCTGCATACCCACAACCGTAACCATTATTTGACTAATTTCTTCAGTTTCAATGTCGTGATTCTAATATTTCTCTAAAATGTTTTTTTTTTTGCATTCATACTTCCAGATAAAGAAAACAGAGAAGTTTTGCAATATCACAAAAAGTTAATATACGTTTTAAAAATCGGAACACAGAAAATATACCCCCGTCTACATTTCATTTCACTCATTTGTTCAAAGGGAACAGTCTGAGAATGGTTTTATGAATACATGTCAAAATGGAACACATTGACGACAAAGAAGAGCCATGACTATATCATATTAGAAAGGGATGGTCGTCTTGGTGACTTCTATATTTGCATTCCAACATTAGGAAAGTTTATATGTTCACAGGAATGATAGATGTATTAACATTACAGTGATTTCTCCTGACGTGGATATAAATTTGCCTGTATAGGTGAAATATATGGAGATAACGAAAAATATTCAAGATCAAAAGCCCATTTAAACAATACAAATCAGGAGCAGAGCAAACACGGACCTTTAAAACATCAGAGGTGGGATCAGGTGAGGAGTGAGCATCCCCTGCCGAGCGGTCACACCCACTGTGTACTTCTTGTCACGTTCGGGAAATAACGAGAAAATCCGTAGACAATTTAGTGTATAAATCATGGTTTAGCAATTTGTATAGAAAACGTCAGCCAGCTTTTGACTTAATGATATATTGTATTTGCCGACAAGGTCATTGTATCGACCATAGAACTTACGAAATGATGACTTTAAACGAGACGGCTGATATTCTTGTTTCATCAAGTTGTTTGTCAATAATTTACCTCTTTTTAGAAATTGTTCATACGTAGAGCATGCTCTGGCGTAATCAAATCAGCTGAGATATATATATCCTGTATGAAGGTTATAAGGGTATATTGCTGCATAAGTAAGGGAAGTTGACGATTGAAAAGCTAAAGTCATCATGTTTATCATAAAGTTTGGTTATTAAGTTACCATCAGTGTCTTTTTCTAGTAAAATATCCAAATGTGAAACAGATGTATCAGACTCTGTGGTATCTTTTATTTCAAAATCACTAGGATATATCGTGTCGACATATGAATGGAAATAACTATTGTTAATTGATAATAGGTCGTCGCTATATCTTTATGTCGAGTTGAAGGCCACAGTTTTGAAAACTTTCGTAACTGATTAGGGGCAGTAAATCCTCTGCGCTGTACTCATGCATTGATTTAATTCTCAAAGGGAAGTGTTAAAGAAGGTACTTCACTATATGTTAGGGTAATCTAATTATTAAAGACCTTGTATGTCATTGATCAGTACCTTGTAGCAGGAAAATTTACGATCGAAGTTCAAACGACTTTAACTGATGCTACAAATATAAGCGAATTTTTTCTCGATGCTTGAAGAGCAAGCGAGGAGACTGATGAGGAAAAAGGATGAAAACATCACACCAGCATATATAAAAAAAATTACATTAGTTCCGGTAGAGCGCCTTTGGACCAGAAGATAAATTATTTGACCAAACCCCACTTCTCGAAGGGACGTTAAACAAACAAACAAACAAACAAATAAAAAGCAAAGTGATAGTACACAAATGAACGAGTGGACAACTCGAAACAATAAAACGCTCATCTCTTAAAACCACGTAGGAGTATTTGCTACCATGGTGACCCAAAAGTTGCACACATTGAGATTTTTTAATAGATAAGTTTGGAATGTTCTTAAAAATATGTTGTTACATAAATAAATTGAATTGAAACTAATAATATTAACAACTGACATAAAAGTCTAACATGGTGTCTTCAACTTTTCTACCGTTAACTTCTCTTAATCGTATACATGTAATACTATTACCAGTATATGGTGTTCGTGTCTTCATAAACGTACAAATGATTCGATACACGAGAGCTTGTTGGAGAGACGATCAATGTTTTAATCGAGACAGGCTTTTGATAAGTTAGTTGATAGTACAGGGCTTGTTTCAATCTTGTCTAAAGTCAGCATTTCGCAAACGCCATTGTCGTTGCAATGACCCTGCTTGCAAATATTACCTTTCATTCTATTGTATTTTGTATGGTGAAATATTTCTGCCCCTACATGCAAGATAAATTATGTTAACATGCAAGAAAGCTATGTCAACATTCAAAATGATTATGTCTACATGCAAGATAATTATGTTGACATGCAAAGTACAAATCTTTCAAGAAAATCTGATTTTAATATCGGTAAATGTACTTACTAACGCCAGTCTCTGTTGACATCATTATGTGAATATGCGACTTATTTATGTTGACATGCAATTTATTTATGTCAACATGCGGGATAATTACGTTAACATGCTACTTATTTATGTCAACATGCAAAAAATAATTATATTGACTTGCGAGTTAATTATGTCAACATGCTACTTATTTTGTCAACATGCAAGATAATTATGTTTACATGCAAGATAATTATGTTTACATTCAAGATAATTATTTTCATATTAACTTTGTTGCATGTTGACATAAATAAGTCGCATGTCAACATAATTATTTTGCATGTTGACATAAAATAGTTGCATATGAGCATAATTATCTTGCACGTAAATTTAATTGACTCGCATGTTGACTTAAATAAGTCGCATGTTAGCATAATTAACTCGCATGTTGACATAAATAAGTCGCATGACAACATAGTTATGTTGCACCTTGCATATATGGTGTTAGATATTGGCGTTAAGAAATAAATTTAGTAAGTAAATAAATCAGATTCTCTACCTTGCATAATAAGATTATTTTCTTGCTTGCAGACATAATTATCTTAAATTGACATTCTTTTCTTGTATGCTTAGACAATTTATCATGCATGCAGGGAGGGGATATATGCCACCAAAATTTTGACGTTTTATACAAATTTTAAGGATATTGTTTTCCCATAATCTTTGACTAGTTACTTCTTTATTGAGAAATTCTGGAAGACAGCTTTGAAATTGATAAGTACTTAATTAAACAAACTTTAACGATATAAAGAAATGTACATCTTTATGAAAACAGAATTGTAGTGAGATCTTTCATGCAATGTATAATAACTTAACATAAATTTTTTGATGGTGTTTACTAATGCTATTACTTATCAAAAAAATTATGTTATAATTATATAAATAAAAATACATGTAAGTACACAAGGCCATCTTTAAAAAAAATGTTTGTTTGCCCTCTCCTGAACGACTGACTAAAACGGCCGGACTCAAAACTTTTTTTAACCCCCAGGAAACAATTTTTTAAACTTATTTCTCGCCTGTAAATAACTATTTTAACTTCAAATTTGCAATGTTTTGGAACATTTTTTTTTCTACCTATCAACACAATTTATTTATCCTCAGTCGGGAGGGGGCAAGCAACTATTTTTTTTAAAGATGCCCCAAAATCATTATAATATCGCATTATCCTATCTTTATAAACTGTATAACAAAATATAAAAGTGAAAACTTCTTCGTCTATGATTCTTTGTTTTTTTTTGCTCTTGATAATTTCTAAGTTCATCTTTTAACTCTTTAACAAACAAAACAATCTTATCGGAAGTAAAACAACATAACAAAAACTATAAGGGCACACTCAACTCATAAAACTTTTTTCTTGAGGTCTTATCTATAAGACGAGGAAGGAAAAGATATTTAATTTTTGTTCATAATTATCATCTAAATATGACCGATTATAAGCGCAATATCACATGATTTGATTCCGTATGATATACATTAAAATTTTTTATCTGAGAGCTAAACGGAAATATAACACGTGATAAGTAAGGTTGCACATTAATAGATCACAGTCACAGGGGTTTTACAAGCTGTGGAATTACAGCTGATTTGAGACTGGGGTAGGTAGAATATGCAATTAAAACTGTATTTTTATCGCTGTGTTAATTTCAATATTGAATGTTTTCAGATAAAATGACTATAAGAGAATATACAATTTTTATTACAAAGACAGAAAACGTGACACGAAACTTATCGTACACATACATGTACATTCTGTAAATGACGGTGGTATGAATATTGAGATATAACCAATTATATTTACATTTCCAATGTCTTTGTCCGAGATAAAATTACAAATTGTAAAAATACATTATTTCTACATAAATCTACTGGTTCATCGATAGGCGCGGTTAAAAAAAATCACGTGCGGGGCAGGACAAATAGAGACAGAAGCGGGGCTGTTAGCACGGGAATTTGCAGAATCAGGAGCATGTAAATATAAGGAATAACTGTCAGATTTTTTGGATTCATGACGATGATCAATCGATTGGCTTGCGTGATAATTTTATGCATAAACGCCTTCGGCGTTTATGCAAATTATCACGCAAGCCACTCGATTGATCACATTATGAATCCAAAAAATAAGACAGTTATTCCTTAAACCTAGTGAAGAAACCGTGCTATGATAACTGAATATGAGAGAGAGAGAGAGAGAGAGAGAGAGATTAAGTCCAATAAAGAAGTAAAAATGAATTGTATCTATAAAAGCTTTAAATAAACCTAAATCATATGAATGAGTTTATTTTGGGAAAAACAAGAAAGAGCTTAAAAATATCTGTTGATATATTATATTTAATACATTGTAGTTTGATGAAAAGAATAAAGAATCATATTACAGCATACAACTTTTTGGGTACTTTGTTTGATTAATTCTCTTGTTGCAGGAAGTGTCTCATTGATGATTTTATAGCGAGGGATCTCTAAAAAAAATTGTGACAGTTTCAAAATGAACGTTTTAGTCAGATTCTTCTTCCTCTTCTACATTTACCAAATTAACTACTCTAATGCCGAGGAATGCGCATGCGCAACAGGAAATGTTCATATCAGATCCGGTGCTGGCGTAAGCCATGCTATTCTGGGTACACTTCCTACAGATTCATGCCTTGCATTCAAAGGGCATCTTACAACTGTAAGCGGCACACATTGGGCTCATGTTGATTATCACGGTCAGGTAAGTAAGGCAGAACTATTGGATTGTGTATAAATTTAGTATAGTTTATGTTTTACTTACTTTTGATTCTTATAACTATCATATGTAAGAGATTATTTTAATGTTTTACTTGCCTCATTCTCTAATTTTTTCCCAGACATAACCTTATACTTTTGAAAATATTCATTGCCAGATTGACAGACGGGTTGTCCACCTTTTTTGTTGCTTTTCAGTAAAATCTTATCATGGTTATGTATTATAAGTTTATTTATGGAAAAAAGTTGCAATTTATCAGCCCACCTTCCCAACCCATTTTTGGGTTTGGGCAATTTCTGTCTTGCTTTTTATTTCTGCATTTGCTTCTCAAATACTTTTCAGGTATGTAGTCAAATATATTTTTGGGCTGCTTCTTCCCCCCTCCCCCTTTCCCCCGCTTTCAAAAAATACTACGTGCCAGAAAAGGAATCATATTTGAATAGCAGATGCTTTTGAAATCATTTATTGATTGATTGCATTGATTGTATGTTGTTTTACGTCCCGTTCGAGAATTTTTCACCCATATAGAGACAGGCTTCAAATTTAGACCTTTACTCGGCACTCAGAGCCATTGAACAGTGAGGATTATTATCGTGCCAACGCCTACCGTGACACTAGGCCTCGGTTTTTAAGGTCTCGCCCGAATGACCGGCAACTTTCACTTCAAATGGCGAGCGCTTGGCGAAGGAATTTTTACAATCAAAATTTGATCAATGGAAAGAGCTGCAATTTATTGGTTCATGTTCAGGTCAAGAAAATATGATAAACTTTGTTTTGTCTGCATAATATTATTCATTAGAAAGTTTATTTTTACAGCAGGGCTCACATCTGTCATCTACATGTTTTTACATGCCGAGCAACACATTTTAACCAATAGATATTTCTTCAGGATGGGTGGATATCAGCAACTTATTTGACGTTCAGAACCTGTTCATGTAAGTAAAATAAAGGCCAACTAAAAATTGAAAATGGCTTCACATTTTTCTATCGTTGTTGAACTTTTTCGCCCAGGTAATTTTCAGAAAGATTAATTTGTTTTATTTATTTTTACACCAAATGCATAAAAAATCCACTTATAATAATAATTACTTTCTGTGGCTATGTATTGAAATTGTAGTGTCAACCGCGCATACTCCAAGTTCTGGAACTTCCGGTTGTCCCTCAATTGTTAGCCGAAGTGAGTGGCATGCTCGCCCACCTAAGCATCCGATTGGTCCACTTCCGGCGGTGCCAGGAAATGTTTATATCCACCATGGCGCCACACCTGGGTGTCACAATAAGGCAGAGTGTATACGGCTAGTACAGTCGTACCAAAATTACCACATGGATACCCATGGTAAACATTCAAACAAACTAAAATTAACACTCTAGCAAGCCCTGATTAAACGTTGTAACAATCCATTAATTAAACATTCTAACAATTGATCAATGAAATATTCTAGAAAAGAAGTACAGTAATCCAAAAAGTTTTTAATTAATTTTATAGTTTATTTTGCGACCAATGCTGTTTAAAAAAACCCAGTGAAGCCAAGCATTTTGGCAACATAGCAATCTCTTTAACAAATTTTAAAGTTTGATGAGTATAAAAAAATAAGATTTCAGAATAGAATGTTTCACTATAATGCCAGAATTGGGGGTCATTGTATTGTACAAAAACTTGTCTTTGAAGTATGTCTCTTTTATCAGGTTGGCCCGACATCGGATACAGTTTCATTGTGGGGGAAGACGGAAATATTTACGAGGGACGTGGATGGAACGAGATCGGGGCCCATACATACGGTCATAATTACGACGGTCTAGGTATGTCATTTTGATCAGTGGTCAGATCGAAATGTTATTATATATGTTTTTTTAAAATTTTTCTTTAAAAAGGACTATATTAATAAAATGAAGTGAAAAGTAATCACTGCAACAAAAATCTTGTTCAAAACTAGCAGTAGGCAAATCGTGCTGCCTTGAGGATCATTGTTCACAAACTACATATACATTGTACTCACAATATCAGATTTCAGAGGCAAAGATTACGGAATCCGAATGGGACCACGAAGTTCACTATCGCACGGTCGAGCATCGACTTTTGGGTCGATGGCACAATGACGCGATAATGCGATGACCATGACGCCATGGTGCAATAACGATGATGCGATGCAGTGATAGCGTGATGATGCGATGGCACGATAATGCGATGTCGTCGGAGCAATAGAACACCGAAGCGAGAGCCAGTATCGCTTCTCGTCATCGCACCATCGCTCCATCGTAATCGCACCATCACGTAATCGCGCTATCGTTTCATCCTACCATCGCGCCATCGTCATCACACTGTGGCGCCATCGCATCAATGTCATCGTGCTATTGCACCATTGCTTTATTGTCATCTCATTATTGCTCCATGGCACTATCGAACGAAACGTCGATGGTGCGATGGTGAACTATTTATTTATATTGACCATTACCACTCACCTTACCTGTGATCATACAAAAACTAATTGGATTTTTCAAATAATGATTTTAGGATTCTGTGTGATGGGGGATTTTACTTCACACGTACCAAATGATCTTGCAATAAACGCTCTCAAGAGCTTGATAGCTTGCGGAGTAAACTCGGGAAGAATCACCCAGAACTACGTACTGAAGGGTCACCGTGATGTCGGACAGACCAGCTGCCCGGGGGACAAATTTTATGCCCTGATCCAGACCTGGCCACATTACCACCACTGACATTGACAAAGCATGTCACTTTTCAGATCAATGATAAAACAATGTATACATTTAATGTTTTTCGAGATATATTAATTATATAATAGAATAACATTTTCTTAATATAATAAAAGATTTTTTGTATCTTGGACTTAATATACTCAAATGTATAGTCGTACAGCTACATTTTTGCGATATCCAGCAGAAATGTATATGTTGGAGTTTTTTTATCAGCATAGTACTGTTTCACTAAACCAACACACATGTTGTGTGTCCTGCAGTTATGTAGATCTATTTAGAATCTCGGGCCACATTTACTGATAAGGTTACATACAGATAACTATTTTGTCCATAAACTGTTCCAAGAAGCTTCTGACATTTGATCCTGGCCTATGGTGAATATCTTAAATCTATATACAGTTTTCAAAAAGGAAAGAAAATGCAAAGAGAGAATCATTATTACTTGTTATATACATGATGTGTATAATGACCAAATTTTATATAAAGAGAGGGATTCCGTGAAAGTTAAATATTAAGGATTCCGTTTTTTTCGTATTAGGACTATGCTATCGCACGTAAGGTAACATTTTTGTTAAAGGGGCTGGAACACAGATTTGAAGCTCATATTTTCTAAAATTTTCTAAACAATATCATGACTTATATGTTGCCAGAGCATTTCATACCTAAATATGTTAAAAGTGTGTTTAGAAACTTCTTTAATCTGGAAATTGTTGAAATTAGAAATTCGGGACGCGTTTGATTGACAAATATCTTTGCACTTTCACAAAGTAAACTTTATCCGTAATACTTAAGAAAAGTAGAAATTTTGTTGTGTATTAATGAAAAAAATATGAAAAACTATAATCCAGAAAGTTCAGAGTAGAAATGCGAGAAAGCAAAACCAACTCACCAGTATTGACAGTCCGTGCTCAGTGATGTATGCAGACTAAACAAATTGAACACACCCGGTAAAACGTAAACACTTATAATTACAGAGCTTGTGTCCTGTTTACAAACACAGGTATTTGACATGATATATATAGAATGTCGTTGTCATTGAATTCTTAGAATATTCATGTAAGTTCAAATTATTAAACTGAAGTTATTTTTGAATAAAAATAGACGTTTAAAATTGTAAACTATGCAACTGTGTCCAGGCCCCTTTAATGCTAAAACTTAAGGTGAAACGTAATCATATGCCACCATGGTTAATATGGATGCATGGGGGAATGCATCAAACTCTAGGTGTCATGGAAACTAGCTATAGTTTACAGGTTGTTAAAGGATCAAAACTGTTATGTAAATATGTATTTTTCAAAGTATATAATTGCTCTTTTATATATAGAACCAAAAAGTGTTTACAAGTTTTGGACCATAGTTTTGGTGTCAGAAATTAGTTGAAGAAAACCTGCGTATCATAACACATTGATGTTTTGTGTAAAATTATATTTCTTATGTACGTGAGATATGGAGCTTGTTGTATTTCTCCGAATTTCCTCACTACTTCTCTGTTGCTACATTACAAACTCAATCGCAAGTGAGTGCGCATGTGCAACAGATGACGTACACGTCAGATCGGGGGCTGGTACAACTCATCACATACTGGGTACCTTGCCTACTGGAACATGTCTTGCATTCAAAGGACACTTGCACTCAGCCGGTGGCATGCACTGGGCCAATGTGGACTATCACGGTCAGGTACGATAAGATAGCACAAGAAGGACATAATAATTTCAGATAGTTCAAAATATTTTATGCATTGTGAATCAGTATTTGTTGAAACCTACCGCACCCTGTGTAGCGAGTGCTCTTTATGACGCGATATTATATCGTTTTTGATTTCTTTTTTACAGAATGGTTGGATATCATCAACATACCTTACATTCAAATCTTGTTCACGTAAGGCCAAGGCAAAGGCGATGTATTATTTGCATATAAGAAAAATTGATTTACTTTTAATTCATAATAAAGGGACCCTATTTTTAATTCTGACGTGTTTGTGGTATAGGTGGACAAAAGGAATAATTTCTCTAGCCCCCCTTTCCCATTCTTTTCTGCCATCCCTTTAGTCTACTTATTTCCCTTCCTATCGAACTCTTTATCTCCTTCTTCTTTATTCCTTATTTCCCCCTTTCTCCCTCCCTCAATTTTTATCTCTCATCCAATCTTTTCTCCCCCTTTATGGATTATGTAATAAAAATCTTGATTTTCACAACAAAGTAAATTATATTTTTTCTCTCTTGTTTCCTTAGTAACAACATCTCATAATACGGGCACTCATTCCACCTCTGGTTGCCCAACCATCATCAGTCGTAGCGAGTGGGGTGCGCGTGCTCCAACCCACCATAACGGAGCACTTCCGGCAACTCCTGGTCACGTTTATATTCATCATGGGGCCACCCCTGGCTGTCATACAAAAGCTGAATGCATTAAACGAGTCCAATCTTACCAGAACTATCACATGGATTCACACGGTACAATTGCATTGCATGGTTAAGACTATCAGATCCCTTTTTAATTATCTTAGTGGTGACGAGGTTATTATCATTTCTTTAATTTGATATCCGTAAAGTAGAGGTAGCGTTGTCCGAAAGTGAATTTGTCAATTCTATAATTTCTATACCTTATACGATTGCTTTATATAGTTAGCCTTATTTTTGGAATAATTGCCTGACAGGTGTTATCCACAACCAGAAAACATTCTACTTCGAGAAGTGTTCACGGACTGATTAAGTACTTTATACAATCGGAATCTAATGGTGAATTATTTTTCAGGATGGTCCGACATAGGCTACAGTTTCGTTATTGGGGAGGATGGAAACATTTATGAGGGTCGGGGATGGAACACAATTGGGGCCCACACCCTGCACCATAACACTGATGGACTAGGTGGGTTAAATGTTTGCTTTAGGAAATACTGACATTTATATCTGAGTAGATATAAAACTTTCTGCATAGTTTGTAAAAACAGAAGAGTACAATTTAAATTTTATTATATTATTATAATATTATGTTTATTTTGTTTGGTTGTTTAACGTCCCTTCGAGAATTTTTCACTTATATTGAGACACCAGCACTTGCCGATGGAGGACTGCGAATTTAGACCTGTACCCTGCACTTACTGCCTTTGAGCAGTGAGGGATCTTCTTCGTGCCAGCATCTACTACGACTGCGACTACTGGGATCTCGGTCTATACGGTCTTATCCGAAGAACCGGTCTCCAAGTCGCACAGCGGCTTCGAACCCGCCACGTTATGATCAACCCCTTATGCCGCGACTCTAAAGCGAATGCTCTTACCACTGCGCACCGTGGGCGCCTGTTAGATGATGAATATATCCCCCCCCCCCAAAAAAAAAAAAATGTGAACGGATTGCATTGTATTCATTTTAAATCATTAATAAATATCAACTGTCGTATTTTCTTTTCAACCATTTTAAGGATTTTGTGTCATGGGAGACTTCACTTCACATGCACCAAACAACCTGGCATTAAACGCAGTGAAGAGTCTGATTGATTGTGGCTTAAAAACCGGAAGAATTACTCACAACTATGTGTTAAAAGGTCACCGTGATGTCGGGCAGACGGCTTGCCCCGGAGATAAATTATACGCCTTAATAAAGACATGGCCACATTATCACCATTAGAACAGGCTTATTGTCCGATAATGATTTCATTCCAAAATAAAACATGGCATCTTGTTTATTTTTTACTGTATTAAAAATTTATTACATCTAAGTGCTAAATTGTCCCTGATGGATCGTCTAGACTTCAAATATATGTGTAAGTAATGAAAAGTTCGTCAACCCGATGTTTGTTATAAGCTGATTACAGATTTAAAACAAGATGTATTTGTGAAACACTGATGGCAGCTCATGACAAAGGATAAAGTTTCTCAAATGCAAGTCAAACTCCAGGTCAAGAGATAGAAATATAGGTACCCAAAGAAAATTCTTATCACAAGGAACATGCCTGGGAAATGTGAAAGCCCTAGGAAGTTTAGACCAAGGTTAATTTTTTCCCAAAGTAGGGCAAACTTCAAGGTCGGGGTCAAAGGGTCAAAATTGTTGGTACCCAAAGGAAAGTCTTGTCACAAGGAAAACACATGTCAAATATGAAAGCCCTTGCACTAACCAAACGATATGGACAGTGTCAATTTTTTTTCAAAAGTAGGTCAAACTCAAGGTCCAGATCGTTGGTACCCAAGGGTCTTATCTCAAGGAATATACCTGTGAAATATGAAAGCCCTAGACTTACTGTTCAAAAGTTATGTACAAGGTCAAAGCTTTTCAATAGTAGGTCAAACTCCAAGGTCAAGGTCAAAGAGCCAAAAACTGTTGGTACCCAAGGGAAGGTCTTGTCACAAGAAATACACATGTTTAATATGAAAGCCTTAGCTTAAACCATTCAAAAAGTATGTTCAAGGTTAAAGTTTTTTCAAAAGTGGGTCTAACTCAAAGGTCAAAAAATATTTGTACCCAAGGAAAGGTTTTATCACAAGGAATACACATGTATATGTGGAAAGCCCTAGCACCAACCGTTCACAAGTTATGACCCAGGCTGAAGTTTAGTAAAATTTTGCAAAAGTGGGTCACACTCCAAGGTCAAGGTCAAGAGGTAAAATGAGTTGGTACCAACGAAAGGTCTTGTCAAATGGAATATATAATCTGCTCAATAAAAAAGAAATATGAAAACAATAGCTCTAACCAAAGTTGTGAGCAAAGTTAAAGTTTTTTTATGGACAAACCGACAGACAGACAGACGGACAGAGAAAAACTACATGCATCTTTGATTACGGGGGCATAAGAAAATATCAATAATATATATACATGTATATATTTACAATACAAAAACAAAGCAAACGAGAGATAATAGTTATATTTCCAAGTTGAATTAAATGATCATAAAATCATTGAAAAATTATTGTTCCATGTGAAGTTGACAAATATATACTTCAGGCATAAACTGTTCTGTCATTTCACAGTGTGTGGTATGAATGGTACGGTTAATGACCTCTCTCCTGAAGATTGAAGAACTACATGTATAATTGATAATCATTTAGACTAGGTCAGTGAAGAGCGATGGGCTTACAGCAGAGCCGTCAAAGACACACATTTTTTTAAACCGATATTCTTCCCAAAATGTGGACGGATAGACCATGTCTATATATTTTGTTTAACATAAAAAAACGAGAATGTGAACGCATATAAATGGGAGGTGTGGGTTGGGGTGGGGTTGAGTTGGGGGATCATACATGTACCTTTGTCTTAAATTTTTACAAATCTTGTGTGGATTTTTCTTTCCCTAATAAACATCACAACTGCCTCCAGAAGGTTTGGTCAAAAATGAGGAAGTTCTATAACACATATTAACAAATGTTTTATTCGTCTTTGTCCTCATTAAATGAAATATTAAATATCCTTATGAGAGTCTCTCTCGTTATGAGAGTTTTTTTGTGTGTGAGTAATTTTGAAAGCTTTTAATACTTAAACGTTAACCAATAACATGTGTAAAGAAATTTTCTAAGAAAGAAGAAAGCCCTTTCTTTAAAATTTCAAATGATTGATGACATCTCTAACCATGGAAAACTAAATTGTCCAGTAGAAATACAATTATCTATTATTTTAGAGGCATTATATTTCGAAAGATTTACTTACTGAGAAACGTTTGGTCTCATACAATAACAAGATATTATTTTATCAATCGACTTTGGTAAAGATATTTTCAAAAAAGTACTAACAGGATGTATATGCCAAAATTTATATTTCAGAAAAAGAAAAGGGAAAAGAAATGACGTTAAATTCAATGACTCTTGATCAGTATACGTTTGAAATTAAGACATCTTCTTTAAGTGCACGTGATATTAATGAATTAAGACTACATTGTGGGTTAGGGAGTAGTAAAAATATATTAGGAACACACGAAATATTTTGTGATGACAGTAAATTTACGGAGCAGGCCCGTAGGAAGCAATTTCGATTTGTGTTTCGAATCAAACATTTTCATTTTTTTGGGGGGGGGGACTAACAAAAATTACCCCCTCCCCCTCCTGGTTCCTACAGCCATGTGAAAATGACCCCTGCCAAGAAAATGAAAATGAAGGCTTGTGTAAAGACTGTGTAAAAGACCGCAGTCAAACTAGTCGATCGAAATCTGTAGGGGCACCAAAAATATCGATGCTGTGAGCAACATGATATCTTAAAATGCCAAATGTACATTGATAGATATTGCTAAGGCACGAAGCATTTCATTGTAACAACATTTTATAGAGTTCTGACAAATGAAATGAACCTAACAATAATTCTATCAGATCGGTGCCTTATTTCCTTATAAATGCCTGAGAGAAAACACACGTTAAATGTACCCATAGCCTATTTAAAAATAAACATTTTTACAAAAAAGGATTTGATAAACTTGATTGATGGATGACGAAACATGGTTGTACGTTTTTTAGTCAAAAAGGAAGAATAAGAATAAAATATGGAATCAAAGAGAAAGATGTCGTCCTATTATTGTCCTATTATTGCAAAGAAGCAAGGGCTCCAAATATATTTTATTAGTTTTCTTTTTATTCAAAAGGTCAAGTAAAACATGTATATACACCCAAAGAAAGGGCCATCAATGGTAACTTTTATGTTAAAATTGCACTAAGGAAAGTTTAACAGATTTCCTGCAAATCAAGTCCAAATACCGATACCTTTTCTGTACATGACAACGTTGCAGCAAATAAGCATAGAAAAAACAAATAAAATTTTGAAGAAAGGAAAGTTTACAGAGCTTAGCCATCCCCCATATTCGCTAGAACCCAGCCATTGTGAGATTTTTTTCTTTCAAAAACACATGAAAGCAATCAATGGAAGACTTAACAGTTTTAGGTATATCATGGAAAGGGCATTCCTAAAGATGAGTATGCTGAGGTTTTCTGATCACGGGTACAAAAACTTTAGACATGTGCAGATGTTAACAGGGAATCGAATGCTTTGAAGGATTGAAGGTATTAAGAATCAGGCATACGTGTTTTTCCTATTTTTAGATGACCTTTCGTATTATTTATCGAACGACCCTCGTATGTTAAAGCTGTGTAATAATATAAAAAGTAGAATTATTTTAGTGACCAGTAGTAATCATTACTACTTTGTACAGCCCCTTTCTCTTCCTTTTCTGTCCATTCTTTTCCCTTCCCACCTCATTTCCTCGCTATTTTTCTGTTGTTTTCTACATTATACTTGTCTTTATACGTCAGTTTTCCCTGTGTTGCAGAGGTCAATCCTTGTTGTCTTTTGTCCAATTGTTTTGATAATTTTCAATAATAAAGATTAAATCAAGTCAACGCGATACAACATAAGACTATATGCATTTTTACAAATACAAATTGACAAAGTACATGTACATTGCAACAGTTATAGGTACTTATTACTCCATGTTATTATTGACAATTATTAATTTGAAATAAAATTGAATAAAAATAAAATTTATCAACAAGCACGGCCTTTCTTCAATTCCAAGGTAAGGTGCTCATGAGGGATTTATTTTGACAAAAAAATACCTAAATTAGATAAACCTGTTAGTCTTTTAAAAAATCACTCATAAATATGGATTTGATTGAAAGAAAGAAAAACAACATTAAAATGTGAACTAGAAAAAGAACTTGCTTGGTCAGGTGAATTATTCCGTTAAGACCATTATACCGTAAGTTCTGACTCAGAATGTTCCAAATTAAATCTTCAGAGTTGTTTGAAACTTGTAATACATACAAGTATCAGTAATGAAGATATTTACCTCTCCATCATGCAACCTTTCGATAAATATATTAAGCATTTTAAATGATCTTCTAATGACGTAAACTTTTTAAAATTTATCGTTTATATTTGCTCCTGCCCCCGCTACTGTAATTTACAGGTCATATAAGTTCAACAAACTCCGTCATTAGAAAGTTTAAATCAATGTTAACAATGATTTTCAGGAAATGTAGCTATAACATGGCTGTAACTTGTAGTGCAGTGATCATTGTTGAGGTTAAGATAATTAAATCTCTTGACTCATTAATATGTGAAGTCGAGAGTGGTTGCACCAAAGAAATAAAAAAGTCTAAACCATCTTACCACAATGATATATTATAAACATATAGTTCTCACTATGTAGAATACTACGGAAGCCCGTTGAGGCCAGTTCAGAGAAAGAATCATTGCGTTTAAACGCAAAAGATTGCGATTAATCGCAATAAACCCAAAACACTTTGCGTTTAAACGCAATACTTTTGCGATTAAACGCATTCTTTTGCGTTTAAACGCAATAATTTTTTGCGTTTAAACGCGATATTTTTGCGATTAAACGCAATAATTTTTGCTATTAAACGCAATAATCTTTGCGTTTAAACGCGATATTTTTGCGATTAAACGCAATAATTTTTGCTATTAAACGCAATAATCTTTGCGTTTAAACGCAATAATCCTTCCTTATAAGGATTTGTTTTGCATTTAAACACAATGATACTGTAGTTTCAAAATCAAACATGAATTAGTCAAAGCTTATAATTACATGTACATGTACTAGGATCCTGCACTTCAACTTTAAGAAGATCCGATTTGTTCTGTGTCTTTTTGCAGAATTTCCCAGTTTTTGAAAATTGTAGTAAAACAATGGCATCCTAACAACCTGAATGTCTTAAATGTATTAGAACCCA